GACAAACTGGGTGAAGACACCTCAAATTCTGGAAACAAAAAATAAGGTACATAGAAATAGTCAGGAATAAAAACTACACTTTTCATATGAATAGCTGATCTCCCCCTTCTTTGCATTTTCAAAACAATAAAATATTAAGGTTTAGTGAACTAAAAGCTCTATAGTTGAATGTTCTTCTTATCCAGACAGTAAGGCACAGTATATTAATTATGCTGACAATGTATTGTTTGTGTTATTTTGTCCTGGTACTGTATGTCTGTAATTCTTGCAGTCTGGAAACAATCACACAGATTTGAGATGAAGGTCCTGGGCCATTGTGGTGGCCCTCTGTTGTCTAAGACATGACCTGTCCCTCACAGAGATGGTTTACTTGTTGCCCTGGACAAGTCTGATGATTGTTGCAGTATTCTATGGGCAACAATTTTTAAAGTTTGACTGTCTTCAATCTTGCAGACAACAACAGCACAGTCCTTTTTACTCAAGCAGTGCATGGCTATATCTTTCATCGCTCTCGCATTCAATACAATTGTGTCTTTTTGAGTGACTGTTTCTTTATCAACTCATTTTGATAAGAAACCAAAACACAGAGCCACTTAGCAACAGGCATTGTTATGAACCCAGGAACAATACCATTCATACAGTCAAGAAATCTATTGTGTTTGCTTACTATTTAAAATGGAAATAATACAGTATTGTGCATGCACCCGGTGACTTAATGAAGTAAAACATAGACATAATTGTATTTATATTATGCATTAGGAATATCTTAAAATTAAATAAATTAATCTACACCTGTGATGGCCTGGCGTCCCCTCCAGGGTGTACCCTGCCTTGCACCCATTGTATGCCCAGATTTACAGTAGATGTTGGGGATTTCATCTAAATTAGTGTAGAACTTTATTTTATTTTGAGTATGTATTTTATCTTATCCATTGGTTTTGCACTACAGACCCATTTCCTCTTCTGGATTATGGTATCATTTGTGGACTACTTATTGTGCTGAAAAGTACATTATCATAACCAGACACTTACATTAATTTAGTACGAGAATTCTTGCAGGTCTGGGTTTTATTTCCATTGACACAAGACAGAAAAGTACCCTATCATTTGTTTTAGTGGTGTTTAGCCAATCAATTTTTCAAATAAAGCAGGTCAATATCAATACAGCATAACTCTGATGTGAAAAAACAACAACTGAGCAACTACTCAGTGAATAACCAAATTATATCTGACTCTCCAGTTACTGTCAAATTCCTGGTTAAAATGAGAAAACTAATTTCTTTAATCATTAAATTTTTTATATATATATTTGCAACTACGGTTGTGATGTGGCGATAAGGGTTAAGTCATCCATCTAATTGAAGCAAATTATTTGCTTTTTTTGTGTGGGGTGTTTCTGTGACCTTCTCATGTCCAGAGATTTGAAAATTGCATTGTGTTGGCCCGACTCTCGCTTTGTAATCATAATCTTAAACACTGGCATTTATACAAAGAATGAATAATCTGGCTGTCTGGAGAAAGCTTGAGTATAAAAAATAAGAAGAGCTTGCACAAAATTAAGAAAAGCAATTAAATCTAATAGTGAGAGGGGATCTTAAGTGACTTAGCTACTAAAAAGATTTACAAACAGTGCAAATTGACTCCTGGGACCTACTAGACAAAGTACGACACAACAGTAATGTGAAGTATGTGTCCTCTAACCTTTGCTAGTGCAGTCTGTGGATAACTGGACCCCAGATTTGAATGGCTGTTTCACAGGCACTTCTGAGTGCATGACATGCCCAGTCCACATAAACATTAAACAAACCCTCTACAGTAAAAGATCAGCCTTCCAATGCAAAAGGTTTGAGAGCTTGAGAGAGTCCTGTGGAGTACTGTCTCAATAACAATCCCATCAGGCCTCACCACTGATAAAGCTGGCTATTCTACTTCTCTACTAAATCTTTGGAGCTCTTGGCTTGTCAAATGAGGGAAGGCTTAGCAGGTGTCATAGCTGTGGAATGTCTGCACGTGTCCTCATATTCCCTATAGAAGGGATGTAGTGGTAAGCAGATTGAATAAGTGGTTCTATAGAGGATGGGTATGAAGCAGAAGGTGATGACTATTTAAAAACAATAAATATTTGTTAAATCAATGTAAATAATTGAGTGATAAGTATCTGTTTATAAATTTTATGAAAGCCTGGTGACAGTGAGACACCAGATACCCAATTAATTGGCAGCATACAATTATATAAAGATAAATGGATATAAAAAACACAGCACAGAAACTACCCTAGCTAAAGTCACTAACAATCTTCTTAAGGTGTCTTTTCTGGTATCTAAATCCACATTGAACAATCTTCAGTATGCAGCTATAATCTTGAGGTCTAGTGCAAGTGATCACATTACTGCTATCCTGGACTCCTTGCTCTGGCTTCAGGTTTCGTGTTCAAAATTCTCATGCTCACCCATAAGGCTCTACGTGACTGGGCATCTCAGTATCTGCCTGACTTACTATTGTCCTGCTCCCCACTTTGTAACCTTATTTTGCCTAATTCTGTCTCCTCTCTGTTACCAAGCCCATCTACACTCTATGGGTGACAGGATCTGCTCCTGCTATACCCCAAGGCTATAGAATGTTATCCCTATGTATGTCTGAGAGTCACCTTCACTGAGCTCTTTCAAATCTAAACCAAAACCTTCTTTTTTAGAAGGGCTTTTATTTAACTGGATTCTGTCTTCTTCTTATTATTATTATGATTGTATGATTTCTTAACATGATTTATTGTATGATTTTGCTGTTTTCTTTTTGCTGTGTTTTGAATGGCAGTGTGAACACATTCCAATATTGTACAAAGATTGGAATATGAAATGAGCATGAAGGTTTTCCATTTTGATGGGTTGTTGTTATCATGAATGCAATCGTTCGGAGCTCAAAAGGGATTGACTTCCTTCCTAAAATCTCCAATTGCCATGCAATTTGGAAAATCAGCTTCAGAAATGAGCAGTGGCATAGGTGGTCGATTGCTCTGCACAGATGTATTTTAAACTAATTTCAGCATTGCCTCTCATGACTTAGACATTCTTACCACCTGCCTGTTCAATGACTTGAAGAAACACCTAACTGCAGAAGCAGTTTCAGAATGATGCTATTTACAGCTTGCTGCAACCATCTGAAAATCACTAGCATTCAGTAATGTAAATAAAAGGTGACACAGAAGTGCAGATATATACTGAGAGGCACCAGAAATATATGTTCAATATATTTCAAATTACACCTTGTCTAGATAAATGCATATGGCCTCTATGTCAGAACACGTGCACTGAAGCACTTAATTATCCTTTTCCGTCTCAGATGTTTTGTTTGTGACTGACTGCTGTCCATACTGAAAGTTGATTTTTCTCTTATTTTAATTCAGCATTAACTGTATATGTGAAGATATTTTCAAATGAATTCCTCAGAAACCCACAAACTGAGGACACCTTGTTTGACCTCTGATTCTCAGTTTAGAACAGTGATACAGCTTAATAAATATAATACAATGTTGTACTTAGTACGGTGCAGTTAATAATAATAATCCTCCGCTGGTACCTGCTTTGACCAACTGGTCAACGCTGCTTTTCCAAAATGTCCAGTTCTCAGAAAAATGTAAAGCATCCACAGAACCAGGCTCTGGAGAGCTCTTGGAACCACTGTGTGCCCCTGTGAATTCTTTAACCAGTGGGTTCGTACCCTGGTAGGACAATAGCCTTTCTGAAGCTTTGTAACCTAACGATATATGCTTCCCACTGCATCAACCCATCACATAGTCTCAGTTTGAGCCCAACCATCGTCATACCTGGGATGGAAGAGCTGAGGTTAGGTGCCAGCTGCAGACTTGATTATGGAGGCAGACAGTGAGGTCATCCTGCTTCCTGGCAACCAACTTCCATGGTGAACTTTTGGGCTTGCAGAAGGTGTTGTTCTCCTAATGCAGAGTTCCAGAGAAGGGCATTCAGATGTCTATCTCTCCAAATAAAGGAAAGTGGACATGCTCCTATTCAAACACGTTTACATGAGAACACTCATACATAAATGAATATACTGTAGGGCAGTATGGTGACACTGTGGTCAGCATTGCTGCCTTGCAGCACTAGGGCCCTGGATTTAGGTCTGGACCTGAGGTGCTGTCTGCATGGAGTTTTTATGTTCTCCCCATGTTCATGTGAGTTTCCTCCAGGTGCTTTGTCCAATGATTGTATATTGATATGTATACAAGGAAAGACATATTGCTAGGTTAATTGACTTCTGAAAATATTGGCCCTGGCGAGAGTGTGTGCATGTCTGTGTGTGCCCTGTGATGGACTGGCATCCTATCCAGGTTGTATTCTGCCTTGCACCCGTTGCTTGCGAGGATAACCTCTGGCTCCTCCACAACCCTGAATTGGATGAAACATCCATTAAATAAATAGATATATGAATGGTTACACTTTGAAAATGAGTGGAAAAGTGGAGAGTAAAATAGGGTTTAAAAGGTTTATTAAAATCTGTCAGGAAGTATTTCTGAAAGTTACATAACCATGTCTACTAATGCAGTAGCAGAACATGAAAAGTCAATGTCAAGGCTTCATGTAGCTAAAATGTGAGATCCTTGATGAATTAGTGTCAGATTGTTTTCAAAGAAAAAAAGAGATTCTGCTCCCAAGATTTAACACCCACTCTCTGGCTTTTCACCAAGCAAATCAAAGATACTGAAAAAATCAGAAATTAAAGAGAAAGGAATACAATCCTTTTGAATGAATGAAGTATCTTTGGCTGCTCTAGAAATTATTCCTGTGGTACATCATTCTAAAACTAAAGAAAATGAACATGCCCTTTAGGATTGTTTAAATCTCCTAAACTTATTGTATTTAATACTTGTTTAAAATGTCATCACCTATGAGAGATCAGAGAAAACCCTCCTTAACAAATGTCTTGAGATGATGCCTTGAAAGGCACCATATAAAAACTACACACTCAAACATAAGAATTTTCATGCTCTCTGTATCAAGCACTTTATTGGTGATGAAAAGATGGGAACACAAAGATTCCAAGGAGTAATTAAACACATGTATTAAATTAGATTTACAGTAAAAATAATTAGGAATTTGCTTACATTGCAATCAGGATTTCATCCATAGCTTACAGTTGAAACCTTATTATTGGAAATATCTCAGACTTAGGAGCAATAATTACCCATTAAAAGTGAACATTCCTGGGCTTCATACATATACCATACATATACTGTAAAGATATATTACAATTGCATTCCACATAAATAATAAAATCTGGCATTTCAGTTGTTTAACATTCCAATATATAGTAATTTTATTTAAATAGAACTTTAGGGCTGCTCCGTAACTTTTTATAACAAAAGAACACCAGAAAGCAAAATAGTTTGGTGTTCACATTCAATCTCATAGCTAGAATGTGGTTACTTGTTTGAAGGATTAAATGTTCTTGTGACCGGAATGGGTCCTGTGGTGAATTTCACTGTGAAACATTCTTCAGCAGCTGATGGTGGTAAGGAGAAGAAACACTGTAAAACCTTTACTTGAAGACTAAAGACCATAGAGCTGTGAGTGATTACAGTTACAGAGAATGAGTGATAAAGTTTGTGGGTTTCCTGTTGTGTTACCTCAGCTATTTGTCACATTGTTTTATTTTTGGAAGAGTTTCCAGACTGTTCACATTGCCTTTAAAACTGGAAGTTAAAAAACCAAAGTTACAACTGCTATCTAATTTTGACACTTTACAAGACATTTTAAGAAAGTGTGAAAGTTTTACACAAAAGACATCCTGCTACAATTCTGAGAACCCCTTGCACTCAGGATCTTATTTTCCCTTCTTCTTCTGTTGTTCCTCAAAGAAGTCATTGCAAGCCACTGTCAGAGCAGCTACCAGCACCACAAACTCATTGAAATCTACTTCATTGTCTTTGTTTGAGTCCAGGTCATTCATGATTTTGTCCACAAGCATCGGATCCTTTTGCGACTGAAAGAGAGAAAGAGCAAAGTTGATCATGTAAAAGATAGGACTAGAGAATTAATCAAACACTTTCCAGTCGCTTTTCAGTTCTGAATGAACTTGAAGTCTGAATGTAGCCTATGGGTGAGTGACAGAAATGAAACTTCAGCACTGGATCAACATTTTTTAGGGATGTTTATTCCAAAGCCAAAAATGTCAAAACAGATATGGTTTGTTTGTTAGAAGCTAAATGCAACATGGAAAACATGCCAGCATCACAGTAGCTGTTTGATTAATCAATTTCAATGGTTTTATACGAAAAGGTTTGTTTCATTATACAGATGTTAATACACAAAGAACAGCAGGCTAATTCATTCAAGAAGTTCATTTAGCCCATAACATTACAAAAAAATCCATTCATAATAAAGCTCATGAGAATAGATTGGATTTAGTGGCATTGAAGAATCACTGAACCATAAAATCTGGCATGCTAGGATATAGTTTTTTTTTGTTTTAATCAACAGATTTTAGTTGAACTGTGATGCCACATAGAATATTCTCTGCAAAAGAAAAGTTTCCAGTTCATAGAAACAAATACATCAGATCTAATAACATAACAGATTACAATGAGAAATCAATGTGCCACAAACACTCAAAGACCTAACTTGTTGATAAGGCCATAGGAATAAGATTAGTAAGGCTGGGTAATCTGTACTGTATGTGTCAAAGTCAATCATGAATTAAAGTGATTATAACTTCAATTTTCACCTCTCCCAGACCCAGGATAAGAAGCTATAAGCAACTTTTTATTAAAGCTTATTTTTAGAACCTGTCAAAAAACAAAAAACAGAATTATTTTTCTTTTGTAAGTTCGGACTCGGCTCCCAACCATCTCACCAGTGAAAAGATTTGCCTGTGCTTTAGGGTGAACTCTCCAGCCCTAAGACTCGTACTCAATCCCGCCTGTGCCAGATTCTGATTGTGGCATAAGGAAGGTAAGTGATGGTGCCAACTACCCAGAAGAGGACCCAGAAGAGGAATCTGCACTGAAATCATTTGAACGATCAACTGTTCATTCACAGGCTGAAGGCTGGCCTCAGCATCAGTTGACTCTGAAGCTGAACTTTTCTACGCTTCTTTACATAAATTGAAAATGCATCTCAAAGGCCTTGGTCCTGAAGGGCAGCAAAGAATGCATTGAACCGTCCCACATCAGGATCGATGACACAAAAGACAGAACAGTACACTAGGGTCTCGACATCCGCAAATGAAACATTTGCAAATTTGCTCATTCGTGATTCATTCTGGCCGATGGGGTTTTGGATGGAAGAAGAATGAAACCGAGCTGAAGTTTGTCACTCACAACGTTCAAATGGGTGGTGCAATAGACTAGAAACACAAGACGAAACTACTGTAGCTAGTGAGCGAGCCTCACCCGGCCTCCTGCTTAAGTACCTAATGCACAGCATCCGTGTCTCGACTTGGTCTTGTTTTTCTGTTGTAATCAACACTGGAGGTTCTGTCTCGGCAGATTGGGGAATGACAGGCTGGGCACAACTTCACAGGCTCACACACAGTTTTATCGCCCTTCTCATTACAGTGTGGTGTGTTAACTAAGAGGCAGAGAGAGGCACAGAGGAAGGATTCATGATGTTTATATTAGATGATTATGATAATTATGTGATTACTGCAGTTTCTTTTAGTTTCTCAATGTTATTTAAATTAACTTAAAGCCACTACATTAGTACTGTAAATATCAGATAAGGGAGATTTACTTATGTCTTTTAACCATACATTCTACAGTATGTACTGTAGTACGTTATGATAAAGGGATGGACTTGGTTATATGTGAATTTGGCTATTTACAACTGTTCTCTGCACTTGTTAATGTGAAAGCCCTATTGCATAAAAACAAATACCACATCAATGGAGGAAAATGTATTAAAGAGTCAAAGTGTCTGATAGAAGAGTAGCTCTTTCTTGCATCAATCAATCAAAAAATCCAGTTTTAGGAACTAGGTACTGTATTGGATGATGGTTCACAATGATCGTGATTCCTTAAGATAGAGTTCATTTACCAAAATGTCCTTCAAGGTAGGTGTGATCTTGGGGTTCTGATAAAATTGGAATCATTCAACATAATGGGCTTTCACAGTTTGTGACCTAAAACTGAGTAATAGTAACCTTAAACTGCTGTGTGATGCTGTGCCTGCGGTGACGTTCTAGATGAGAAAAATGACACTTGTGGATATAACAATTAAACAGTCCCTTTAAAGCAGATCTGTAGTCAGCACTTACAAATCTACTTTATAGCCTAACCTGAAGGAGGTGTACGGTTTCCTCATATGACTCACAAATATGACTCACTTTTTTGACGCAGACCAGTATTTTTTTTCTCTGTGTGTGTTTGTTTGGTACAAAGTGTCCCATTCGGGGAATGACAACTGGGGCAGAGTCCCAGGGAGTAAGTAGTTAGTTGAGAATAATAATAAAGGCAAACTTTATTTGGAGTGCACTGTAGCAGAAGGTGACCCAGCCATGTGGGCCATTAAGTCTCCAGAGATATGGCTGCAGCTGTGCCGCCATATCACTGCTGAGAAGAAGCAGTTTCCTCTTAGCACTCTTCTAGATGAGAGTCATATGCCACAACACTTATCAGGCAACAAACACTCATTTCATTTCCTCAGAGAACATGTAACAGGTCCACTATCTGCACCAGAGCAGGCTTACAGTACATTCCATCAGTTGTGGATCAACAGATACAAAAACAAGAAAAGTGGTCTGTCTGCCCTTGTTGTTGACTGCAGATACAGCAAGGTTAAAATATTTACCTTTTTCTAAAGAAAAAAGCTATACAGGAATGAAATGACTGAACATTCTCTATAGTTTTCTCATCCATCTGTGTCATATGTGTGAACTTTGTAAATAAAACTTAACTAAGCTTAGAAAATATGTATTTAAAAGACTACGCCTTTGAAAATGTGTATACCTGTAATTTTGATGGCCTACATATGCATATTTGCTATTTAATTATATAAACGTAAGATTGTTTTTCGGTAGGGTAAGAGGTTCATGAACCGTGTTTGTCTTTCAGATCCATACTTAATGGACATCTGTTGAATTTTTCTCATTAACTTTAAGTACGCCGAATTCTCCTTTTCTGGTTTAACACAATTTCAAGTCTGTTATTTGAAATCTTGTAACATAGATTAATGCCACTTATGTGAAAAGGTTGCGCACAATAAATTGCAGTAGTGAATCTGCTGTCTGGCAGAAGAAATAACAAAATCCACAAACAGCAATAAGAATCAGACTTTTCAAGGTCGGTTATTTTTTTTATCTTACTAACAAGCCCTTTGTGTTTGTTATAAATTAGCATACTGTAGATAACACGTTTTCTATCTTTATACATCTTACACTTCAGCGAAGTCTTTAAGAACTGCCTGTATCTTATCCTATCCAGTGTCCCCCGGGAATACAAAACATAAACCTGAGCACTAACCTAGAAGAACACGATTTGAGAGGATCATGTTCCCAAAATGAATGCCTTTTACGTAAATTTTAAAATACGTTTGCCTTTGACTTTTCATTACGTAAAGTGGGTTTTCCGATCCGCTGTAAAGCAAGAGTAAACATCACAAGGACCAAATTAAGGCACTGATCCTAATAATTTAGCATGATGCATAGAATTTTGATTTGTTCCGACATTCTACAATTTGAAGTACGACGTCACAATTATATCTTTGTTAACAACATTTTCCGATATCGGTGTTTTATCAGGGTGCCTTTGTTGTCTAGGTGGCCACCAATGTTCCAATTAAAGATAAAAACACGAAATTGTACAAAATGATCGTGATTATATACAGTTGCCCGTAATACAATTTAGATTGGTGATCTTTAGATTCATTGCTTTATGAAATATGCTATAGAACATATAGCGGCGTTATTTATTTAACATAGAACATACAGTATATAGTGAATTCATTAAAAAAAATAGAAAAGGGGTGAACTTGGGAGGGAAGACGATCTGATTTCCTACACTGTGCTCGCTAAAGGAGGAACCAAACGGCATCTGTAAATGAAGTAGTTAATCGAAATATACAATTGTGTCCAAAGTGATAAAAATGTTTGTGGGTATTTTGTGGGTTCTTCCTTTGTGGGTATTCACTGTGTAAGACTATATTAAAAGCAAATGAAGGAAGGATAATCAATTAGGATCCTAATACTCAAACATGCGAGGACTGAGTAAAGTATTACTCAACTTGTCAATTGATAGTCTGCTATCAACAGATACAGTACTTGCATTCCCGGAAAATGCGACTCTTACCGTCAGAAAGTCGGTGAGCTCACTGTTAAGCAGCTGCTTGAGTTCGCCCTTGTTGAGTTTGTACTTGTCACCCTCATTACCGGAGTAGTTGTGAAAGACATTGATCAATGCATCCATGGCTCTCTCCAGTTGGGTCGGCATGGTGATTTTGAAAAGAGAACGGAGCTGGGAGGAAACAAAATAAAAACATGTATCTAAATAATTTAAGATTTAAATTTTAATTAAGCATTAAAATAATGTTTATTTAAATATTGAATTATATTCACTATAAACGAATCATATATTACTTCAGGGCGTGTAAGACAGAGATGCAAGATTAGAAGACTTTTTCTTACAACACGAAGGGAATGACACTGTTATTCAGGTTTAAAGTAGCATTCTACACAGACAAAGAATAACAGTTCAAACTATACAACTTGAATCCAATTTTAAGACTTACCTGATCTGAATCCAGGAAAAAATGAGATGAATAAGATACAATACTGCCTGTTTATAAAGACACATATCTCAGAAAACACCACCTTAGTTTGACCTGATTTAATTAATTCCACAGGTGAGCTTCCAGTGGCAACCGATTTTTAATTAAACACGTCCTTTATGAACAACAAGAAAAAAATGTTCCTTAATGAACTGTTATTCCCCAAGTCTTGCAATTGTTTCTTAGGAAGCTAGTCATTATAAATTTATAGGACACAGTATAAACAGGAAGTCCTATTGCCATACCAAAAACTACCCTATTGCCTTGACTCTAATGAATGGGTTGAATACTGTTGTTGTGCTGTATTTTGGCCATTATCTTTCTTCAGTACAGTTTGATCATACAATTGCATTGCAATAATATCATATGACATCTCAAAAGTGCCTTATTTAATAACATATATAGATCATGTATATAAAAATGTATCCAAAACAGTAGTAGAAAAACAACTAAATTATCTATTAAAATTAAAATTATGTTTGATATTCTAATTATTTTACACCCCATCTGCAATAAAAAAATACTTAACATGCAACAATAGTAGCCATTTACAATATTAAGGAGTTAAGGAGAGTACAGTATGTTGTCTATATGACTATAGCACAGAGCCTAGATTAGTGAATATATAATAAAAGGTCCTATGACAATTTGGGCAGGACTTTTTCAATTTGAATGCAAGCTCTATAGACCATGATGTGCTCTTGCTGTGTTTTAAAAAATAAAACATATATTATAGCTGTTTATCAGTTCCTAACATTAATAGAGATAAGGGTGCAATATTAATCAGTTATTCATTTATTTCTAGACATAATGGCTCAGTTACCCAGATACAAACAGCATGTTTGTGTTTTATGAAAATGGAACTTCATAAAATGTACAAAGAGTTAATGTTAAGTTCCTGTTGTCAGTTCATTATGACACCCTGTGACTCACTGCACCTACAGTAGTACCTAGGTATACCCAAGGGACACGTTAAACTTAGCCTTTTTGCTTTATGTCAGTCATTGCATCAGGCAATTTCCTAGAACTCATTATTCCCCAAACTCCAAGACACAACGTCAGCTGAATCTCGGAACAGTTCTCATGCTGGTGCAGAATAGTTGATGATCTCTATGCTAGAGTTAGGGCCCTTCAACAATTCATCACAGACAGTGAAAGGATCTTGTTGTGCATAAGTAATTGTAATATGAAGCATTTTATGTACATTAACATTAATGTGCTCACATCTGCACTCTAAGCATTCTAAAAGCTGAGCAGCATCAGTTATATACAGTATCAGCAGTCTTCCTAATTTTAGCATGTCTTAAATTATTTGGATAGGCCTATGTTTTTCTTGATCATGAATGGTGTAATATTCATTCAGGCCTTAAGTAGTAGCTTGTTTAAAGAAAACTATAATGTATGTAGTTAATATAGTTTTCCAAAACTATGGACATGAACTATCCTTTTACAGCATAAACCAGTCAAGTGAGATCATGGCTTTTTTTCCTAATGGGTCCATTTAGTTTATTCTCTTTTATTCATGCAACCAGTTAGGACTACATAAATATACTGGCTGTATTTTTAAAGCCAAATAGACACTTTTTGGAAGGCAACAGGAACATTTATTTTTCTCTGCACTTCTCCTGTGGTCAGATCCAGTAAAGATTCAAGCTTATTTTGTTTATCAGATTTCACAAGGTTTTTTTCTGTTTCACTATAAAATCAACTTAATTTACTCCATACTCCTTTGCAAACTATTAAAATACAGATGTTGTTGTTTAGGTTTTTACTAAATTACCTCCTTTTCTTATAAATGGAAAAGCAAAACAAAAACAAATGCTTTCTTTAAATAATTGTGGATTGAAAACAAGTTACATGGTTTTTGTAAGTGACCTAAGGCTGCATGTTTAACCCAGATGTTACAAGTATCAAACTAGCCGAACATGTGGAAAACAGTGCTTCCAAACAAAATCAATGTCACAACTCCAGTACACTCCTTAATACACAGTTTATCTTATTATATTACTATATATACTGTATGTTAAGGTTTCATAATTAATAGAATTTGAAGATGCATTCACAGTGAGATATTCTTAACTTTTTTCTAAATGAATGTGAATAACCAAAAAAAGCTCCTGAAAAACATCCCCTTTATATTTTTCAGCTCAGATCTGAAGTCAGGATCAAAGATTTTCATCTACTAACACAAGCAGCTAACTTATTTTCTCAATTTTTATTTTATTTATTTTCTAAATCGCAATGCTTTTAGTGTGAACCCTCCACATCTGTGATGCAAACAAGGTCTAATTTCCCAGTTAAATAAGTTGTTTCCTTTGGTCAATCAGGCTTTCCACTGAGTGGTATTTAATTAACAAAAGTTATTTTATTTAATTAATCAATCATGGTCAGTTATTATTTATTCCTGTTGTACAAATATTGCCTCAGTAAATGCACTAACGTAATACACACTAGGAAATCAACAATAGAATAGAGAATGCATTGAAAGGACAAAAGCTTGCTTGCTCACAGCTGTGTGTAAAATCAATAATTCTTGCTATTTTTAAAAATTCATTACTTTGAATGGCACAACATAATTTATATAACACACAACATGCGTAGCTAATTTAAAAAATAGCCATTTGCATCTTTTTGGAAGTAATATACTGTAATTCAGGAGGCATGCTAATTAACAATTTGGAAATGAAAATTTGGATGCCCAGTCATTGCATAAACCATTAATTTGTGCTAATACAGCATATGTTTCATTCACTATGTTATTAAAAGTTGTTGCTGCTTCAAGAGGAAACTGGCTGTGCTCTACCTATTGCTCACCATGACAGCATAAAACCGTAAAAACTGTTAAAAACATAGCCTTTGCTTGTGAAACTGTTCAAAACTACTTTACTGTCCATACTAGGTTACTGGAAATCATGTACACAGTTTTTCTCAGTCATTTGGGAATGATTGAGTGAGTCTTGTCCTTTATGTCTTCTGCCATTACCACACTGACAAGCGTACAACCCTATCACATCCTTGTCTGTTATGTTGAAACGAAACAAGATGGCACTTCACAAAATTCTCGACTATAGTATCTACAGCACCCATGTATTGTCTTTTTATTCCCAAAATGTCTGTTGGTCATGCTTGCATAGAAACATTCTTTATCAGAGCACTTGATACTCTGCCAGTTGCGGTGTTGTGTTGCTCTGCACACTTGAGGCAATGCAAATTGGTTTAATGACATTGGTTTAACCATGGGTCCACAGGATTGATAATTATTATATACTGGTGCCTTATTATATTAGCAGAACACTTGTAGGAGTACTCAGTGGAAGAAAATGAGAGTAGAGAATGGTATGATCTTGCTGCTTCGGTATCACATCTGGTTGACAATGTCTACAGTTGTCTCCAGTATTCTTCATTTTTTTCAGGGAAATTAAATGTGGAAATATGAATATTCAAAGTTTTCCCTACATACAAAGTGCTCAAGATGACTTTGGCTCTCCACAGATCTCTGCGTCTCATCACCTTCTTCATGGTTGAAAAACCTGTCTCTGGGATAGATGTCTCTGCCCCTTTTCATTTTTTTTACCACACTCCTACAGTTTACCACACACCTCTTTGTTTACTTTCTAGGCTTTAGCCTACATACTCTACTTACAGTATCTATATATGGGGTAGTAGTTAAAGAATGGCTTGGAAGAAAGTATTGTAATACTTAAGCCCAGACAAAAAAAATCAACTTGACTGTAGTACCAGAGGTACAGAGTTAAGTATGAAGGCTGCCACTACACAATGCTTTTAATGTAGGTAAAACCTCTCTATTACCAAACAAAGACTGAAGTTTTAAACCCATCAAGGAATTGCTCCAGGTTTCAATAAAATTCAGACCAATAAAAATAGCTGGGCCTTCATTTTCTTTAGTGGCAATACCACATTAAAATAATTTCAACATTTTTCTACAATGCCAAAATACACAAAACAAGACTTACAGTATATAAACTCACAGTGGGAGAGGTAAAGCGGGAACTTCATAATGGTCCTTTTTGTTACTTGTTATACATTGAAACGTCTTCTATTTACCTCATACTCTTTCCACCAGTTAATTGCAGTAACAGTTTCATACAAGTGATTTGTTCCACACCTGTCTATCGTTAGTAACATTCCTCGATGGAAAATTTCCTGTGGGTGAAAAGAAAAAGTGTCTTAAAAAAAAGTCATCAGGAGCTATGATTACAGTTTATGATTAGTAGTAGAACTGCTGGGTTTCAATTTATTCTTGGCCTCAGTCAGGGAGAAAATGACAGAGAGAGAACATGAATGTGATGTGAAAATCTCCAGCTCCGCCATGATACGCTATTTACACATATTTTCTTCCTTCAGGCCACACCTTGAATGTTCTACCAGAAACTGTTAGAGCCAGTCTATAGTACTATACTCATGCCTTCTTACCGATTTAGCCATTAAGCCTGGTGTATTTTTATCCTATGGCAAAGTTTGTTTGCTACTAGGTGTGGACAAAATATCCCATGTAAGAGGGCAGTAGGTACAGGCAAGATGGAGATCCTTGTCTAAAACTTATTACTTAGAAAGTTATGTGAAATTAGCTACTGCCCTCATACAATTGGCAAGTTGATAGTTTAAAACTAGGAAACTGAGGCCTCCAGGGATTGGTTTGATCTGCCGTCTGGGGAAAGAGGACAGATCCTCTGTGTGCAACTTTCACAATAGGGAAAGCAGAGGGAAACTAATAATCACTGGACTGTGGAACTTGTAAGTGACAATATGTAATGTGTGGCAAGAGTCTCAGTTTCACTAAGCCAGAGAAAAACTCAGTGTTGTGTACAGTCTAAGAGAGACCTGTGTTTTGAAAGCTTTTTAATTTGTCTCATGGTTTATTTTTACCTTTGCCGTGCCTTATGGACATGTTTGTTTTACTGAGAACTGCCTGTATAACAGATTGCTTTTTATTGTACCCCAGCCACAGGTGTGTCATACCTGTTAAACTTTGGAATCCATTTGTCTCTCAGTAGGTTCTTACTAGGACATCGGGACCAGAGCGCGCACACAGCAGCACTAGAGCAGAACAGATCAGAAGGATTTCTCATCTTTAAAAAAGGGGTGACAGACTTTTTCAACACGAGCCTCATCTTTCTATGCTAATCAGCCACATTTCTGGTGGGGTTGGATTTTCCATTATTACAAATGCTACATCATTTGGTCCAAATTAATTTGGGAGCCAGTTCAGTTACTCCTTTTCTTTTTATATTGTGATGTAACTCCAAATTAATACTATACAGTATATACCGTATGTTAGAGCTTCCTAGGAAAATTAAAAGAATTTGAATCTGCATGTCTGCCTACATTTGGGAGCTACAGTAAGCATGCATATGTACTGTATGTGGCCTAATACTTCTGATCTTATTGTTTTTCCTATCATTTGTGTTTAGATTCTGTTTGAACTCCGACTTTATAACATTATAGACATTACATTTTTTACTATATTTAGCCTGTCAGGTCCTGTGAAATAAGCTGAATAAGATATAACAAAAACACATCTTTGACAGGCTTGTCAACTGAAGCTTTGTAAATAACATACCCCCCAGTGTCTTTAGATTCCCAATAAGGTGATTGTCTGCCCCTTGGTGTTGTAAGGTGGTACTACAACAGAGGACAGTTTTGTCAGATCATATTTATGAACAGAAAACATTACTGCAGTAACACACATTTATTCTATTATTTTTCTGTTTGCTTAACTTCTTTTAATGCTTGTTACACAAGGTTCTTATAAAAGTATGCTTCAGTTGCATAAAACGTTTTTTGCTTATTCAAAGAATGTGAGTGCATTCATGGTTTTGACTCAGACAAGAAGACATGATAACATGTTAAAGCCTTGTTTAAGTAACAAACATTGATTGCTGTCAGCCTGGCTGAAGACAGCCTTCCTGTAAGATTAGCTGCTTATATAATGAGATGTTAAACCAAGAAAAACTCTTCAAAATTAGATAATGTCCAGGAAGGAAGAGTAGAACCATGTTTCACACTCAGTGGCAAAAGCACACGAAGTTCTAGGAAGAAGCAGCCCATACATAAGAAGAATGACTGCAGGACTCTGTCCACATAAAATCATTTGGATGCCTGGAAATGTCTTCATAGTTAACCATTGGAATTTTGTGGACCTGAAGTGGCAACAAATGAGCCTGGTGGAGTGTTTTATGTAACTGATGAATATGATAAAGGTTTTTTTTTGCCATGGACTTAATGGAAGACATCATATTTAGAGATATTGCACTTATACCGTCAAAACCTATCTGTGAGGTGGTGGAATTGTGCTAATGTATGGTGGGAGCTCTTAAATCAAGCACCCATTCAAGTACACTGTTGTTATTCTGACTCTGTCTTTCTATATAAAAAAACCTGCAATAGCAATTTATGTTGTCTACAGTCTGAATTTGCATATAAGCTGTTATTTCAAATGGGATATACTAACAATTATATTGACAAAACCTGATAAGATTAAACAAAACGTGGTGTTATGTTCATTTTACATCATTTTTATCAATGATTATTGTAAATATAAACATTGATATCACAAAGATAAAACTGTCTTCAGTGGTAGTGTTATTAATAAATAGTCAAAACATTGAGGGATTGTTCAGTGATTTACCAGAGCACTTCAGTCATCCATTGCTGCAGTCTGTCACTTTAGTTTGCAGTTCCTGCCATTGCTAGGCATTACTAAGCACATTCTAATACTGGAAAAGGTTATTGTTATAACACAGAACAACGTACACCTACACACAAGTTGCCAACACTCCACAATAATACATAAGCAAAGAAATGATATTTCTCAAATATGCCACAATATTTTGATGAACCATAACCTAAAAATGCAATAATGTAGTACAATGTGAAATAAAGAAAATGTATGTAAGAAACACATTACACAACTATACAACAGAATCAGTTGTTAACAAGAGTTTATTTTTCCTGAGGTTCCTTTCTTTTAAGGTTTGGATTCAGATACAAGCAGCTCAAATATCAGTAGTGTTCATCAGAGAGGATAAAGTGTAGCCTCGTCTTGACTGTGATCTGTGTTGCTTTTTTGTCCTTCAATTCTGCTGAGAACTTAAGTCATTGCTAAGGATAAAGACAGCCCACATGAATTTCTTCAGTTTGGCATTTTTGTGTTTCTAATGTTCTTTGAGAAAAGTATCTGCAATTCTTTTCAGTTACACTCTATTAGAAGTCTTAGGTCTTGAGTACAAAAGATGGTCTTACTAGGACTATTCTATCCTACTGCATATAGCTCAAATTTCAATTCAGGTTAACTGAATCCCTCAGAATTAAACCAACAACCTTTTATGAAAACTAATGCTTCCTGATATAAATCCTAAATATTATCCCTTAGAATCCACTTGTGTTTTCAGGTCCTTGGCTAGCCCCTGGTCCTGAAATTGTCCACTGGTTTGGCTTGGCTTAGCATTTTAAGCACTTCTATTAACAGTCTCCATAGACTCATGTGATCCTGATTAAAGGTTTAATGTTTCTAACCTGTCTTTCTTAGTACATTAGTTTCTAACCTTAGTACATTCTGAGTTACAGATTCACAGTACTAAACCAGATTGAATATTTCACAAAAGTAGTAATAAAAATAAAGTAGTTTAACTGATATTTTAAAATTTGTGTTGTCCCTTGGCAATGCTACAGTATATGTTAATTAGAATTATTCACATGTTTTAGTTTATATTTAAGTTTCAAATTCCTACTAATGTTTCACATTTTGAAAAGATGCACTAGAAAACTTGACTTCTCTCTTCTATGCACTCATTAGCAGAAGCACAATTCTTAAAAGTTAACAGCAACACTGCAATATGAACAAACGCACCACTTGAAACCTGGGGAACCAGTAATGCACCACAAACCACCATTTGAAAACAGTTTAATAACTACACATGATGCAACAAAATTGAGCAAAGTTAACTCATTTCAGTGAAGAAAGATGTTGCAGGAACCACAAAGTGTATAAAATGAGAGGATTTCCCAAATAGTCAGCAGACAGAAAGAAACCTGGAAGAGCGACTCTAAACTAAGAAAGAAAATATAGAAGTCATACACCTCTGAAGACAAATTAATTTCTCAAAATATCAAACAAAATGGCAAGCTTGTGTCCTATTACATTATTAGGTCCATATCTTGACTATATGACTGAGCAAAAGATAGTTGGGTTCATACCAGAAGAATCTTTACTTCAGCCTCTGTGGACTTACCTTCGGACAAACCACCAGGAGGTGTTAAGATCTCCTCTCTTTCCTGTGATCATTTCAGTGTCCACATACTTTATGGCTTGCCTCCTCTACATGACCCTGGATAGTCTCTCACTGGTGGTTCCAGGGATTAACAGTTACAGGATTCACCCTGACCAGCCAGTAAAGCTGCAGAGCATCCTGAAGGCGATCTGGCTCACTGTTTACAATCACGTGGTTTTTGTCTTTCCTGCAGCTGCTGCCCAGTGGTACTGGAGGCCACCTCTGCCATTGGAAGAAAAGGCACCGACAGTGCTGGAGTTCACCATGGGAATTCTGGGTTGCACACTACTCTTTGATTTCCAATATTACTTCTGGCACATGATTCACCACAAGATCCAATGGCTTTACGTGACATTCCATGCCATCCACCATGAATACTTTCAACCTTTCTGCTGGGTTACCCAGTACATGTCTGCTTGGGAGCTGGTCAGTGTTGGCTTCTGGACGACCATTGACCCCATAATTCTCCAGTGCCATATCCTCACAGGCTACGCCTTCATGGTGTTCAACATCTGGATCTCAGTGGATGATCACAGTGGTTACGACTTCCCCTGGTCTCTGCATAACTGGATCCCGTTTGGACTGTGGGGAGGCTCTGTGAAGCATGACACCCACCATCAGAAACCAATGACAAATTTCGAGCCCTTCTTCTCTCACTGGGACTGGCTGTGTGGCACCCATTCTGACCACAGCTGCTCACCAGCCATGGCAGACAAGAAGAGCACATTTTCCCAACCTTGCCATTCTAGCAATTGAAAATGGGAGAAATCAAACTGCACACCTATTTTGATTCCTTCAGAGGTAACCTTGTAACATACCTGAAACGCATTTTTTATCATAAGTATATGTACTGTACAACAACATTACTAAAAGCCTGGTTTACAAATACTAAGAACACAATAAATTAAGTCTGTTTTTTATAGGTGCTGTTTATATTTTTTTCTACAACTGTAATACGAATGATACCATTACTTCAATATAAAATATGTAATGTAATCTATATGAGGACAACAGTACAGCAACACTTCTTGTGTTGTATGACGAACAACATAATTCAGGAATAATGTGCAAGTAACTCTCGAATCCGTGCATCTTCCCACTTTCTTTATTAGCAGCATTGGAAGAGGCATTCTGTATTTGCAATGTTCAGTTTTTGACAGGTGAATTTTCTTAAAATTGTTATGCAACAAGCACAGCAAAATCCAGTCCCGGAGTCCAGCTTTATGGATGTTTTTGTAATTAGCAATTGAAAAGCTATGAAAACTGCTGCTTTCACTTCTTATCCAAACAATAAGCGCAATTAAGATAATTTTCTTTAGAGGATCATGTTTTCTGTATCTTAAGTCTTTGATGTCATTTGAGTACGGTAAAATGTGCACAAAAACTTATACTGTACATCTTATGCATTTTTATATAAAAACAGTAACCTAAGAGAGGAGGCCATCTAGTCTCTTGGAAGCTGGTAGCTAACCGATCTGAAAATCTAATCCAGCTATTTATTAAAAGATTAATTTATTATGTATTAAAAGAAGCAAAACAAAATGGCTGGGGAACTTGTTCCATACTCCCACAACCCTTTGTTTAAAGATGGGCCTCCTACTCTCAGTTTTAACTGCAATTCCATGTAGTTCACACTTGTGTCCTCTTGTTCCATGTTTCACTATTGTTTCTGGAGAAGTTCATTGTGTTGATTATGTCAATGCCTATGAGGATATTGAATAATTGAATCAGATCTCCTCATAGTCTTCTCTGTTAAAGACTAAATAAAGTTCTTTGAGCAGTGCAAGATGTTTCTAAACACAGGTAATGCATCTAAAATGGAAGAATGTGTTCTTCTCTAGAACAAATGCAGTGCTGTTTTTGTAATGAATTGACCAAACCTGCACACTGTTTTGCTAATGTGGTCTTACTAGTGCATTGAACAATTTTAACATCCATTGATTAAAATTCTACATTTTAACTTCATTTCTTAACATTGTGCTAACCTTTTTATTGCTTTTCTGCATTGTGTAGATTGGAAGATGATGCCTTTTTTTTAATAAGTACCCCATTCAGGCTCAGAGTTTCCCATTTTGTATCTATAGATTTAGCTGATTACATCTTATACCCTGCACTTGTTTACAATAAACATCTTCCACATGTTTGCACTGTCCTGCATATAATACGAATCATTTTTAAATTTAATTTGCTGCTTTTACAGTGTGTTTTTGATTCCAGAATTGACTTTTGAATTTTACTAATTACAATATACAAGAATCTAGAGCATGAATAAAACTGAGGAAGAATAGTCCTAGTACAGATCTCTATGGTATTGCATTATTTACATCACACCAATCAGAGCCTTAATCTGTCTCTATTTTCTCTCCATTAACCAGTTATCACTCAAACACTTGCATTTTCCTTAATTCCACCTGCAATTTGATATTTTTGGAGTTTAAAAATCAAAATCAAATTTAAAACTTACAGTTTCCTACAGATTCAACACACAAAGCATTAAGCATTTCCTCATCTTGCCTGACATTAGTTTTTACTAAACAGCTCTTACCAGTTGGCCAACTGACGATGAGACACAGGTGGGAAAGCCACTATACCACACTCTCCCACAATGATTTTGGTTTCCTTGTGTCAGCGCCAAATTGATGACCTTTCAGGCAACACGAATGAGGACATTTCTGAAAATCTGAAACTCAGAATTGGTACATATTTGATACTAATTACAAATGCCATTCAAATGTTAAAAAAATAATTAAAAATATCTTCTGATAGAGAAGTGATGAAAACCACAAGTCACGGTGGTTCCCCCCATTACCAGAAATGGGAATCATTGTCAAGAGCACACTCCTCTTGCTAGGCCCTTTGCATTTTTCTTCACAAATCTGACCTGTGTAGATTCTGACAGATTTTTAGTAAACTACTGCAATGCACAGCACCCACTGGAGAAACATCATAAATCCTTAAAACATCCTCACAGCTGTAAGTTACATTACCAGCTTATCAGAGAACTGTAAGTCTAAAGTATGTAACTTGCTGAATTTCTCGTGAAAAAAAACACAGAGAACCAATTTGTCACTTGTCGGGAGAAGCATTTTTTATGCCAATGCTATGTTGAAGGCTGAACTAAGTCATCTGAGGGGGACTCACCAGCAGTGGAGCTAAGTCCTGTTCAGAGACGAAGAAGAAGATTAACATGACTGCAGCAGGCTAAATATTGTGTATAACAAACCAACTGACATGGGGACCAATTGTGATGGCCTCGACTGGAGTGATAGGATACTACAGAACCCTGCTTGCAGTTACTAATTGCAACCTGACAACACAAGGCTACATATCGATCAGCTCCTGAGACCTCATTATTTACTCTTCCTGTGGGCTCATCATCACTTGGAAACAATCCAGCATGTCAACACACATACACATGCTGCTTGAGCAACAGCAGCTTCCTTGCAAGATACGAATGTGACAGTTATGCCATGGATGCCCTACTTCTCATACTTGAGGTGCCGTGTGGCTTCTAGGGCTCAAAGTCCAGGGAACTTTGCACTTGCCTGTCCAGGCTTTATGGGAGGAATGAGACAGAATCTATAACCAGCTGCAAAAAGCATCACATCTTGTATTGCTTCCAGTGGTGGCCATACACATTGCTAGCCTGTGACTTTCGAAGTAGAGCCCCTGTTTTTTTTAAGCCTGTTGATCACAAATGTTAATCATGTCATATCCATTCAATAAAATATCAGTGCATCTACAGCAAAAAATAAGTTGTCATTTTCCTGTTAATAAGTTCTTTGTGAATTTGTTGAAAAAAGGATGATACGTTACTATGGTGGTTGGTTTACATTCTCCTAGGGTGAGAAGAACTGTCCACAGGCTAACGTTTCACATTGTGAAAGAACTTAGGAAAGTCTAACTGCTGTTGTTTCTTAACCATGTGGGCTTAAGTTCCTTTGTTTCAAAACCAGATATTGTTGCATGGTGAGTGAATACATTCAAACAGTACACGTACACATATACAGTACTATATGTGTACAAGTTATAAAAAAGATTCTGAGGAGGCTGATTTACAGTATATAAGAATAAAAAATGAAAAAGAATATGTTTTTATGTGAGGAACAGGAGCAGGTGATTCTGTTTTAGAATACAGTCAAATATTTGGCGAACAAGCAACATCAGGCCAGTAAATTGATTGAGAAAGGCATTATGCCCCCACTCTTTTATACTCATTTTATTCTCCTAGGTCATTGCACGTTTATATAATATATAAATATTATATAGTAGAAAGACAGCCAAAGACCTGGAGGATGCAGTGATGTCTATTTTTATATCTTCACCAATCTGAAAATCATGAAACTACTGAAATCCATACACAATTGCACAAGCCCAGATCAAACATGGACCTTCTGATTGCTTTACAAGTTATTGGGATCCAATAAAAGTCCTAAGTGTGTCTCAGGGTGGCACCAGGATTTCCCAAACAGTGGCACACAGCTGGCTGAGCTGTGCAGTGGGTAGGGTGGGAATTGTCTGTGTTTGTACAGTATTGCAGTACTGTCAGTGTAGGATGTGTCTCCTAGGGTTGGTGCAGAAACTCTGTGCTCCCTGTGTCGTGTTAAAAATTGAATGCTGCAGGAGACATTATAATGATAGAAACTGTACACACAATGTGGGTCTTTCATCAGCTCCAACAGGGAAGACAATAGACATCAGCCCGTAACATTTTAAATCAACTGAAATAAACACCGAAGAATGGACCATTCTGAAGTGTTACCTGAGCAGAGATAAAGTGCAAACAAAAGACACCACAATGTGGCTGCAGAAAAAACACAGGCAAGCTGTGGTGGAGATACTGTATTGTATGTGGCTTGTACAGAGCTGCCTAACATTTGTACACAATTTCACCGCAGCTTTCTGAGCAAACCAGATGTCCACTACATTTCAAAAGTGACAGCAAAATTGTGTTTGCAGATACTTTCAGAAAAAAAAGAAGAATGCAAAACTTTTTAATTGCATACTTACATTATAACTACATATTATTCGATAATGCCTGTGATCATTTTGCATGTAGTCCAAATTTTTTTACCCTGTGTCAGCAGCAGTATCTTTGTTCTTGCAGGACACTGTGTCTTCTGGTTTTTGTTCTTTGAAAATTATTTTTAAGTTTGCTTGCATTTCTTAAACAACAGAATGTAGAATTGGTTACACGATTTAATTATTGTACAATTTTCCATAACCTCCACCTCCATCCGTTAATTCCTTCCTTACTACAAAACATTTTTGAAGTATTGAAATCCGTGACCTTGGATGAGTATCCCTGCATTTACTACTCAGTCAGAAAAACAACATTAACAAGGTTGTTTTCAACTTTCAGCAATCAAAGTGAAAATTAAATTAGCAGTATGCAGTACAGAGAAGAGGAGGTCTTTTCTGAAAATTAATAGCAGAAAGGATAATAACAACCAAATAATGAAGATGACCCCAAAAGCCTCCTCATCTCAGTAATTCTTTTTTATGTTCTTTTTCTGCTTTGTACTTGAACTTGAACTTGAACTTGAACTTTATTGCCATACGTAACCGGTACTGGTAGAATGGAATTCTTACTTACAGAAAGTCTCTCGATTGTAAAACAAGTGTAAAAAACAAAACAAAGTGCAAACAGTGCATCAAGACAATGTACAAACAAACAATCGACAATGTGCAAGTAAACATGTAGACAGTTTGAATGTAAACAATACAGACGTGTAAACAATGACTGGAGATGTGCAATAGATAGGAAATCATAAATAGGTAGATGGTAATGGTGTAGGTGTGGTCCAAGGGGGATGGCTAAATGTGTTCGCCAGTCTCACTGCTTGTGGATAGAAGCTATTGAAGAATCTAGTGGTAAGTGTCCGTATGCTCTTATATCTCTTGCCTGAGGGCAGTGGGGTGAAGAGCTCATGCCCGGGGTGGTGAGTGTCCTCTGTGATGGCCAGAATTCTACCACGGCAGCGGTCCTCATAGAGCTGTTTAATCTCGGTGAGACCGCAGCTGATGATCTTCTGGGCCATATTGACCATTCTCTGCAGTGCCTTTCTTTCTCGCGAAGAGGTGTTGCCATACCACACGGTGATCCCGTTGGTGAGGACGCTCTCGATAGTGCAGCGGTAGAAGTTCACCAACACATGTATTGGCATCCCCCATCGCTTGAGGCACCTCAAGAAATAAAGGCGCTGCTGAGCCTTCTTCATGATAGAGTCAGTGTTCACAGTCCAGGTTAGATCTTTAGAGATGTGAATTCCCTAAAGCTGGTGACTGTTTCCACTTCCGTTCCATCAATACTGAGTGGGCTGTGAGTGTGTGGCCTGTGTCTCCGAAAGTCCACTATTAGCTCTTTCGTTTTCTTTATGTTCAAGTCCAGGTTATTGCTATGACACCACCTAAGCAGCTGTACAACTTCAACTGTTTCAGATTCTTAACTCTCCCTCAATTAAGGGAATAAATTAAGCTACAGCTGACCAAAAATGAAAAATAGCTCTTCTGGATGTGTCAAAAATGTTTTTGCTGTTCTTTCATCCCCGTATATATTTCACCCCTATAATATATCCTCCTTTTGCCATTTTCACAAACCTACAGTAAATCGCAACATATTGTAAAGATTAAAAATGATGTTGTGTCAACCCAAAGTGTGTAAGGCCAGTCTTTTTTTCTCAGCAAAACCGTTAATTCTTTTGAGCATTTGTAACAAGATGATGGAACACAGCCACAGTGTATTACTACAACCCTTCAGACCACATTGGTAAACCTTCAATTTGAAGGTCGCTCCTTAAGATATGTAAAATGCTTTATTCACAAAACATACTGTTTTCCAAGCGTACTGTATATAGTTAAATATAATTTAAAATAATAATATTGTTCTTTGTCTAATATTACTTTGGACTACCTTGAAGCATCCGGTCGCTGTAAACCATTATTTATTAGAAGGGTTCACAAAATAAACGTTTGGGGAAAGACAAATGAAGAACAAACATTACATTTCAAATATGTAATTACTTATGTACAATAGGTGGCATGAAGTAAACCAAAAAAACAACCAGCAGCTCTCAGAAAGCCCCTTAATCTTTGTTGTGTCAGCCTGGAGCCAGGGCAAGAGAACCCTAAATGGGTTTTCATTCAACAAAGGGTACATAACCAAGTACATTTTAGAGACATCAATTAACCTTTTGGCTGCTCCAAAAAACCCAGAAAGAACATGGAAACTCCACACATAAAATGCTCCAGTTCAGAAAGAAAACCAGTACCTAAAAGCTGTATGGCAACAGTGGTAAGAACATAGAGTAATATTGTTTTAATTTTATGGGAAATTTCAAAATACATTCTCTTACATTATGGGACATTTTGGACAATGAAGCTGTTTTTATATATTTTAATAAAATACTGACTACATTTGATTTCTGTATATATAATTGTGTTATGTACATAAAACATACCTTTACTGTACCTGCAATATTAGCTCAATGACCACAACCTGGAATAGGTAGAAGCAGTTAGCAAATGGATAGATTGATGGATTAGCTCAATAGCAACCAACAGGGTACTTTTTTGGCAATGGTAAGCTCAGTGACTGCATAAAAATAGTTTGGTTACAGAAGTGCAATAAAATAATTGATGTATATTTCTGCATCAACACATTGGGTACACATTTGTGAAGGTTTGCTCAACAAACAATAAGAACTTCTTAACTGCTTGCTTGCATTTGTTATGCTTATACATTATCATGGGATGCTAGATAAAGATTATACTTCCAATAGAGAGGATGCCAGTCCATCACAGTGCACACACAGACAGACACACACTAGGGTCAATTTTCTAAGCCAATGAAACCAATTTTCTAATTAAATCAGTACAATTTTGGACTGCAGGAGGAAACCCATATGGAAACAGGCATACAAACTCCATGCAGATAACATCCCAGGAATTGAACACAGGGCTCAAGCACTACAAGGATGCAATGCTAACCACTGTTCCACTCTGCTGTCTTACTTAAAAAACATTAGTGCATGATTTACTACATGGCAATCTTGACTGAAATTTCTACTATTTAATACCAAAGATGGGCACATACTGTATCTCCTTCTTCATCTCTCAGCTAAAGAAACCCCTCCTTACTCTGGCTTTCCACTTCTGCTTTCCAGAGATTCACACTGTGTGCTTTGTCACAACCAGAATTACAGGGACATCTTCTGTCCTGCCTCCATGGCTTTCTCTCATTAATTCATGCTCCTTTCGACCTCTCGCTGGTCTCTGCCTGGTCCATCCTTTCCTTTCTCCTTTCTTCTCTTACTAATCACGACTAATCATGTTGACTGTATAAAAGTTAATCTTGGTTAGTTATACGTAAATGCACAAGTTTTGTTTGGAACAGTTAAGACATTACAGAGTAATAAAAACATGTTAACTTATGTCTAAAATGCAATTAAAGTTGACCACATTTACTGTACAAAGTAGAGTTCTCTCACAACAATGTCATATTCATATTTGGATTGAAACCTTTGATATCAAATCTTCACCTTGACAATTGATGTGAGTAATGCAAGCTTGAAAACAGCTGAGAGCCTTGTTGAGCCTATCTTATTATGCTACTTATTACTGTGTTAATAAAATGAATTATTCCATGCCTTACAAATACTTATGTTTGAGTCCAAATTGTCAGTGGTGTAGCTCAGCCAGTGCCATTGGCCTCATTCCCAACAGAAATAAAAGAATTTAAAATAAGCTTTCGCTTTCACTCAAGGAGGTGGTGCCTAGGAGCATATAAAAGATGAAGTGAAGGAGTAAACCACTTGAATTGAATCCTGACTTGGAACTACTATTGCTTCATATAAAACAAACGTTTAAAAGTTAGGTTTCTATCATTATATTTGAAAATGACATGCAACAAACTACAGACAATTTATTGTGGCACCTTTCACGCCTTTCATGTGGAAAATGTCTCTTTCGACCTCCCTGAAGAGTCTCTACTGCAGCCGTTCTGGAACTACTTACGCAGTAATTATCAAGACACCTTGCGATCACCTCTCTTTCCTATTGTCCTCTCTGTATCTAACTACTTCTTGTCAGTGGCTCTCTACACGTTTCTGGATGTCTTGGCCCCAAGGTGGAATTGCATTAACAAGTACAAGATCCACCCAGAGAAGTCAGTTTCCTGGAACAATATATGGACAACCCTGGGCGTCACCACATACAACCACCTGGTCTACATCTTTCCTGCAGCAGTGGGTCAGTGGTATTGGAGACCCTCAACACCCCTGCCCAAAGATGCACCTGGTCTAGCTGAGTTTGTGTTTGGCATCATAGGCTGCACTATCCTCTTTGACTTTCAGTTCTACCTGTGGCATCTCCTGCACCACAAAATAGGATGGCTTTACAGAACCTTTCATGCCATCCACCACCAGTACTATGAGCCATTCAGCCTTGTCACTCAGTATCTGTCAGCCTGGGAGCTTTTTTGCGTAGGATTCTGGACCACAGTGGATCCTCTCATCCTCCAGTGTCACTGTCTCACCACTTGGGGATTTATGGTCTTCAACATCTGGATCTCCACAGATGACCACTGTGGCTATGACTTTCCTTGGTCCCTTCATAACCTGATTCCCTTTGGGCTTTGGGGAGGGTCGATCAAGCATGATGCTCATCACCAGCAGCCTCACACCAACTTTGCTCCTTTCTTCTCCCACTGGGATTGGCTGGGAGGTACAAGTTCAGCCCACTGCCATTCAGCTGCTCTGAAGGACAGGTCAACAAAAAGAAAGCGACAGTTACAGACTTCTAACTGAACACGTACTTTGTGTAAGTGACAGGGAGAACTCAACGACGGTGTGTTATGTAGGTGGAAATAAAACTTCCTTTAATTAGGAAAATCATAATAATGAATAGTGCCTCTTTCAGACAACTTAGCTATTTTAACTGGCAATAAAATATGCTCAGCTAAATTACATAAATGTCTTCTGGTAGCTGCAAATATAATAGCTTTTAAAGTTCTTTCAAGGTTTATTTATTGACACTCCAAGAAAACAGTTCAGTATGTTCTATTCAGTCTTATAACCAACTGGTCTTCAGTCTTGGCAGAGATTTCATAACCTGGTCTGAGAGTGTGAACTAAGGATGCATTTACTTAACTTTAAGTACAATATTAATTTCGGTAATCCATGCTACCAGTTGATGATTACATTAAATGTTATTTTAATACACTGACATATATATTAGGTTTCATTAAGGTCTGATGAATTTCTTAATTAATTATTAATAACATACAGTCAACCTTTTCTGTGTAACCACAGTCTAAAACAAAATGCTGCCTCACCTTTTAATTTAGATGTAAATCTGATTTTATAGTATCAATTCTAAGACCTACTCCTTAAAAACTGAAACTATAATTTGAATATTTCATAAATTAATATAATTATTTAAAACATTACTGCAGAGTTAATATTTCAAATGTTTTCAGTAACAGTATGTGCCGTATATCTTGGTGGTTTTTAAAGCTTGCAAATTCACAGGCAGGTTAATTACAATTCTGAAATGAAATCAAGAGATGTTTCCTTTCAGAAGGAAAGCTGTACTGTATTGGTTGGTTGGTGTTGTAAGAAAGAATCTGAATTTAATTTAAATGACACTGATGAAAGAAATTAAAAATCTCTGCCTAAGTTCAAACTTTGAGTCTAGTGTCTCTTTCTGGGGAGACAATACCTTAAAATAAAGTCATAACAGGGTGTTAATTTTCTTGTACAATTTCTTGTACATCATATACAGTATAATATGAAGCATTTAAGTCACACAAAAAAATAAAACAAGCAGTTAGATATAATTTTAGCCATGAACAATGATTTAATTTTCTAATGGCTACTAACAAACTCTGTGGCTCTCCAAGACCAGGACCAGGTGTGAGTATACATTATCTTCTTTGGACCATGACTCCCCTGCTACAAGGTTCTTAAGAAGTATAATAATAACATTTGTTACAGTATATAGGGATAAAAGATTTGCCTTTTTTCTGGCTTTGAAGAATTTGCATTTTGGTCAGGCTTCCTGGCATTTAACACTAAAAAAGTGTTTTTTCAAAAGTAATCATAACATAAAGATATCAGCCAGAGGTATAACTGGTCCAGCTGGTTTTGTTTTGTAGCCATTATGACAGTGGTCCTTATATACAAACTGCATTTCTTAACCTACAGTATTAATTAGTGACCTCCCTGCAATTGCAGGAATAAGCCTGCAGTCCTGCCTACATTATTACATTCTTTGTGTTGTTTCTGTTGGCAGTTCCAGAGGCTCTGCAGGTAGAATTCTGCAGTTTGATGAAAAGGGAATAATACATATTTCACAATGAGAGCAAAACAGGAAGCAGAAACAAAACAGAACTCTCAATAATTACAGCTTGGTTCCTGTAGTGCTAACTATGGTTTTAAATGAATATCAATGGAAAAAGTACTTGTGCCTCAGCCTGCCAGTTTTTATGAATACTTTATTTTGTAACATAGCACATTACCACTCTAATTTAATATTTAACTGAGCTGTAGTGGTCAGCTTCAACATAAATGATTGAATCCAATCTGCACTAATAGAAAACAGAGGAAATGGTGTTTCAGCTACACAAAGCACAGGAAAAGACTCTCACAGTTACATTTCAATCTAAGTGAAGGCAGGCTGTGATCTGTGTCCAAATTGTTATGAACATATTCAGATGGACTATAGTGAATTATGAAAGTCTCTGTTGGTTGTTAGTCCCCATGGCTCCTGGGACATATTGCCAACTAAACATTTTCTGTCTCAATATGCAGTGATTGTGCCAGCATTAATTAATCATTATTCTTTTATGCATAAGCAGTGTGGGACACATCCATGAATGAAGAGGTATTTAATTTGCACGCTGGGTTCCGATTCCAGACATTTCTATGAGAAGAAAAACACTTATTTTCAGCTGTACAAGAACAAAAGAAAGCATTCCACTCGCAATCTGGAGCAATTCAGGGAAAGCCTTTCCAAAACACATTTCAGCAGAGCTGAAAAAGAAAAAGCTGCCTTTGGAAGTACGGTCCACCCTTCTCCACTTTTTAGTTCAAAGCTTAAAGCAAAGATTCTTCAGGGAAAAAAATTAAATATAAAGGAGCTTTATTTTTTGCCAATACTTCACCATTCGTCTTAAAGGTATCATTCGCTTACATAATGGTTGCTGCAATAATGCTATAATAGTGTATGTCTCAAATGTATAATTAAACAATTTGGTAACATACAATAAGTTAAAATATGTTCTATATACCATCCCTGATTAATCTGCAGGGCACTAGGTGAAGTGAAATTAATTAAATTAATCTACTTGTGTGCAGGTGCGCCTTTTGTCCTCTAGGTGTCCCTCAATTCTCAAAAATGCAATTGAGCGCGACAGGTTATCAATGTTCAGCAATTTTCTGAAAATCGGGATAATCATTACTTTTTCAGAGATTTTTAATTGGGTAGAATGTTTGTTGTAGTGTAAAAAACCTAAAGCCAGATCTCTTCAAAGTAATTCTGCAGGGTCCATTTTTTAACTATAATTTCTAGAAGATACTAATAATGTGCATATTGTGTGTATTTTCACAATCAGAAACTGAAACGCTTGCTACTATTTTTCATTCATATTTTAATACAATATTTAATATATATTTTGTGATACTAGCTCAACAACTTACAGTTCACATAATAGTTATGCAACTTTTCATAAATTATTCTTCTATAAAATAGTTTTCTTCAATATATTGAAATGTTTGAGTCCTTAGTTTGATAGCATTAGACAATTACAATAAAGAACACTCTAAAAAGTCTGTTTCCTGGATCACCACTTGGCTACTATACCAGGAGAAAGATAAATGTTATATAAAGCCTGTTCTTGACTGTTCTTTAACTTGCATTCGTCAATGATTACCTCTTTGTTTCAGGAACAGGGGATAAAATCTTCCTTCACTGATATGCATCTCATTTAGGCCATGTTAACGGATCAAGATGTTTTGCCAAGTAGACCATCTTGTAAAACTTCATTTTTAAAGTTCTGAAGAAAGCTAACACAATAAAAACAGTCAATGGGAACTTTTGTATCTCTCCTAAATCACCTATAATGGTGGATTAAAAGCAAAAGAGTGCATTAAAACTGAATGTTGTGGCAGTACACATGCAGCATACAGTATGTTGTATATTTACTGTATTCAATCCTTCTGTGCTCTTTTTGGAAACATCTACTGAAATTTCTGATTTAAAGGAAAAAAAGGTTTTAACCCTCCAAAAACAAAACTATGACAGAAGATCTGTTTTTCTAGAAATTTGCTCAGAACCTTAGAAGGCCATTTGTAAGGTTCTTCGGGTGAGCAGTATTTTGTGAGCACAAAATGAATATCCTGTATAAGCACACTTAAGGAACACATAAATTATTACATTTACTGTATCCTCCTGTGGCTGAAAAACTGTGATTTACATAGTAAATATTGGCCTTTAAGAATCAATATGCCTTCTCTGTTTGCTGTTATTTGATCTTAAACGGGATCACTTCTGCTTGTTCAGGAATAATTTGTGGCTTCTGTGGATCACAGCCTGGACACTACTTTATAAACACTCTTTTTTGGTTATTATTGTAATACACAACTCGGGCTCCTGGCAAAATATTCATTACTGTATGTTGTGTTTCCTTACTTGGAGGCATGGGACTCGGCTAACTTGACAAGTGCCTCTGTCCGACAGAGTTAATTCCCGGTTCCCTTTGACTCAAAATGGGAAGTTACATCTCATAGAAAATGTGGTTCTAAATCCACAGCAGCAACACTAACAGAGCAAAAATACCGGCTGCCTTTCAGTACAATGTACCGAGGACCTGGTACTCAAAACCTGTATTTCCCACCTGACGGCATTATTCGGAATTCATAACTGAGTTCTTAGGATAGCAATCCAAAAATTAATTGCAAAATCAAATCATCACTAACATTTTTTAATTTTATCTTTCAAGGTACTGATGATTTTTTCTGCTTTTGCTCTCAACAGTCATAAGTTAATGCAGTTTATACAGTATATATTACATGTTGTGTAATCAACACTAAATAAGTTGTTAGTCATAAGCTTTCCCACCATATAGATCACAGATAAGATCTGAAAGATAAATACGGAAACTGACATTTGCAAGTTCCTGAATGTTTTCTTTCATTTTCAATAGAAATAATAAATAAAAAGGGGAGACCAAGGGTATAAGCACTCATCCCTGAGAGTTGGCAAGAGCAATCATAGTGCCCAGGAATATGTGCTGTTAAATATGTGTCTTGCCAAAGATCAAAACACAACAGTGGTATAACGAACCTGGCTGGCTGACAGGAGGAAAAAAGACCTCTGACCCTTTTATTTTAAGAATATAGTCTAACAGAGATTAGAACATAAAAAGGTTAAAAGCAAGAGGAGACCATTCGCACTATTTAACCCAAATTGCTTTTTGAGTTATTTCAAAACATATCCCTCAATAGGGGGAGCCAAACTTAAGCTTATGTCTGTAATTATTTCAATTAAATTGCTCACAATTCCAAAATAGGTCAAGAGCAGATCCACTGTGTTCATAAAGATTTCACAGATTACTAAACCTAGGGCAAAAGCCTTCCCTTTTAACTGCAGACTGCCAAGGTAGTCTTAGAGGACTCTGCTTGTTGAAAAGCCCTGGTCTGGACCATACTGTACATATGCTGTGTAACAGAAATATAAGGACTAAATTAAAATGTTCCAAGTGCTACAAGTATTTAATGTACTATTTGTGAATTATTTTGCAATAAATGGCTACCAAAATAATATACTTAAAAAAACATTACAGAGATATAGAAACTTCACATGAAGTTAGCAAACATTAAAATAGCACTGAATTTCTTTAAATATCCTGTAAAGATCCTGCAAAATATCCTGGTCAGCAGGCCTGCAGCTTATTACTGATGGGCTTTCATGATGTTTATTGTAGCTTTCTGTTTGAAATGAACTTGTTTATTTTAGCTTTCCGGCTTAAATGTACTGCTTAAAGTACTGTATTAGAATTGATGCTGTAAGCTGCATTAGTGCTCTGAAAGTTAAATAAACGTGGGCAAAATATTTCCTTCAGTTGTTCTTACACAGTATTTTGATAACTATTACAGATTCTTAAATACTTCTCAACAAAGGACATGAGGTTCTTTAGTCTCAATCTTTCCTAGTCACTCCCGCATCATTCCAAACAGGGCTGACGTATTACAACCCGATCGCACAGGGAAAGACTTTCTGGATTCAGGTATCCCAGGAAGATTTTTGTTTAGCTGCCAGCCCTTATTTATACCTCAGAAACTAAGCTCATGGGAGCCGAAGCTCCATCAAGAAACAGAAACAACAGGCTTAACATGCTGTGTTGATGGAACTCCTCCAGCTATAGTGATCATTAGAAAGAAACAATGACATATCTATATAAACAAACATACAATGAAAATGAGCTATTGCTGTGCAAATATTTATAATATTAAATAGATTTGAAAAACTCGATATCTAAGTCACACTACAAAACCGCAACACTGTAAATTCACTGATACTGACTGCCCAACAACGACTCACACTCTGACGAGCGGACACTCTGCCTGCCCATATGACAGAAGGAGCAGGAGAGGGGGTTGGTAAGAACAATTTGGATTTTCTTTGCTTAATTTACGAATGTTTGATTTAAAAAAACAAATGTGTCGCTTTTAGTTTTTCCGTTTATGAACCAGTCATAAATGGTTTGGTCCAGCGAATCTTCGGTGTACTCTTTCTTCTCAGCATATTTTAGTGTTTTGAAAATATTATGATTATTATGTAAATGCAGAGCATGGTAGCATGGTGGTAGAGTTGTTAGCATTGCTACCCTGCAGAACTGGGGCCCTGGGTTCAATTCTGTGCCTGGTACACTATCTGTGTGGAGTTTGTGTGTTCTCCCCATCTTTGCAAGGGTTTCCTCAAACAGGCCAAAGACATACTGGCAGGTTAATTGTCTACTAGGAAATTTGTCCCTAGTGAGAGAGTGTGTCTATGCGCCTGTCCTGCGATGGACTGGATGTATCCTGCCTTTCGCTTGTCGTTTGCTGGGAAAGGCTCCAGATCCCCCACAACCCTGAACCAGAAGGAGTGGTAAGAAAATGGCCGGATGATGGTGGCAGTTGGAGTGGAGGGGTGGTTGTGTTTTTTTGGGTTTGTGATAATAAAAAATTCATTTCAAAAATGCTCACAATTTTTGAACACACTCTACAATAACTTACACCCCTCAAGAAAGTGGAAATGATATTTACTGTTTAAGTGTTTTAGCAGTGGTAGTTACTTCCTTGGAACCAACAGGCAAACGGACACAGAAAAATCTGAAATCTCACACCCACGTCATTAGATCATTAGATAGACACCCACTTTAACAACATGTCTAAAGTCATCAAGGCAGCTACTGTAGCATTCAGCTTCTGACAGGATTATTAACAGAGAGCTTTGGGTTTCCCAATCTTGGGGAGAACTCAAACATTAAGGTGATGTTACACAAAACTGAATGGATTACAATATAAAACAGTAACAGACAAACTTAGAACACAAAGCAGATTTTACTTTTCAGTTAAAACCCAACCAGTAGCCACACATCTGGTTCAGTAGGCTGGTACCCCACACACGGACCTTACTGCAATGTATAGTACCATTCCAGACACTGGCAGATGAAACAACAGAGCCTGAGTGGCATTTCAATCATGATGGAACAAATGAGACATCCAACCATTATTGGAAATCCACCAATTTTGGTGATGGTTGTGGAAACCAGAAGCCAAATTGGCAAGCATTTGGTGCAAAGTGGGACTGACAGCAAGACGATTTTCACTCTGGATGGGCATATGGCTTTATCACAGAGATAAAAGGACAAATCAGAAACCACCCTCACAAGCATATGTCATGATATGCAAAATCCACACAGAAGGAGCACCAGGGCAGAATCAAATCAGAATCAAAGAGCTGAGGCAGCAGTGAAGAAATGTTACAAATGCCTTTTGATTACTTGTTCTTTTAACCAGGTTACATCTGGTGATCCTCACCTTCACTCTAGCTCTATTTACTGTTGTTTTAGTAATGTAAAGAGATTAAAATGTAGTGCACTACTAGAGTTAACTATAGAATGTTTATTAAGTATATGAAAATACCTCTCAAAACCTATGTGATTAGACTGCTCCAAGACCAGTTACTGCAGTCATGTAAATATTTAAGTCCCTGTATTTGACTGTAGAGATAGGAATATTTATAAAGCAATTAGTACATTTTAATTCAACACATTAGAATAATTTTATCAGTAAAGACCAGCATAACATACTTGCAGTGTAAACATGATATTGCGCAAGTATAAAACTAGCCTCTAGCCTCTATCCAGCCTACAACCTAATTTAGTACTATTTGTTAGCTGCCCATGTATAGTTAAATGATTAGAAATACAACACTTTAGGTTCATGGAGTTTAAAAAAAACACTTGAAAAAAATGCCCATTCACCTTTGTTAGAGTTAACGTTTTAAACCAGTTCTGTTGTTTCTAAACTGCCCCGAACCAGTATTTATGAGTTTCATGGTGTTCTTTTCACTTCATGACATCATCTGAAATCCTGGGCTGGATTAGTCACATCTTATTCGTCAGTTTCTGTTTTGGTCTTTGCAGCAGATTTTGGCAGAATAGATAAATCTCTTTTGAGATATCGGGGAGTTACGGTAGCTCTGTGGCTGGAAGTTTGGCGGTTCGTATCCCGTGGCCGGCGGAGGAATCCTACTCCGTTAGGCCACTGAGCAAGGCCCTTAAGCCCAACTGCTCCATGGGCGCCATATAAATGGCTGACCCTGCGCTCTGACCTTAAGCTTCTCTCCCTGTCGGAGTGTCTCATGGAGAGCAAGCTGGGGTACGCAAAAAGACAAATTCCTAATCCAAGAAATTATATATGCCCAAAAAAAGTGATCTTATCTCTCTCTTACCTTATTATCTACATAGAGAAATCACACCAGTTTAAATTTTTAAATACATTCTGACCACCAAAGCATTACAAAAAATTAAAGACAAATGTATACAGATTTAAGAATATTATCCACATTTAATAAAAGCAGGATTTGCGATTGAGAAAGTTAAGAAATGTTAAGAATGAACTTAATTTATACAACAGACTATCTAGATCTTAGTCCATATGTTTTCATTCATTTTACATTACATTCACATTAATACAGAAAGCAAATGCTACAACGATTTAAAATACAAAGCAAGTTCTGGCTACCTGGCTGCATTTTTATGTGATCACAGGGTTTACTCTAACATGCAAAACAGGTTTGAAGATGTACACCTGTAAACCCGAAACTTGTATTTCATAGAGTTCCAGCAGAAAGTAACTAAGATAAAGGCTGAGCCTTATGTTTCCTATTCATGTGGTCTGAAGATAAATAACTCCTTTATTTATATGAAGCATCTAAAAAAGATCAAGCGAGTATTGACTCTGAACTTTACAGTTAATGTGAGCCTCAATCCTAAATGTTTTACAACCCACTTCAAAACACAGCAATCAAGATCCCAGTGATCATATAACAATTAAAATGTGCCAGCAGATTCAATCTTTAGCCTCAGCAATGTTAAAAATAAACAGGCAAATCATGACACTAAATTGAGTAATTTTCCATTTAGCTATTTAAATATTTACTCATACTTATTTTAGCTACTCCATTGATAAAGGGTAAATTACTTAACAAAAATGTAATACTATAGATTTAGTTCAAATTAAATACAGGCTTTATTTTAAAAAATGGAATACTGCTCAATTAAGCTGAATAGCAACAACTCACGAAGAATTGTTTCTAGTTTCAGTGCTAAATGTTGTGTAGTTGTAGCTGATACAGTAGATTTGACTTCTTGAAAGATAATGTACTTGATTGTTTCATTTATTCCACAAATCACTAAGCAACTATGAAAAAATTAGGTTTGTTTTGGAGTTGAGAAAGTGACAAATTATTATTATAGTCTGCAGGGAAGAACACTCCTGTTTTGAAACTGTTCGTTAAATGCTAAAACACTACTATGTAGAGAATATTTATGTAATTTTACTTTAGATAAACTAGGCATTAATAATATGGACACTAAAAGTGGAATGCTTATATATTAAAAAAAAACATTTGGTTAATGGTTTAAGCCTGTTCTATGACTCACTTTGTAATTAAGGACATTTCGGTAGGAATGTAGTCATGTTCTCATTCTCCATGACTAGCCCTCTTTCTCCCACAACCCACCCCCTGTTGTCAGCCCAAGCAGCATTCCCTGAGGAGCAGTAGCCCTAATTCCAGAGGCCTTTTCTGCAATGGCTCATCAGGCAAATCCTGGAAATGAGGTTATCTGTAATATCATCAAGCGGAGAGTGAGCTATTGTAACCTAAGTGGCAAGCACATTAAACCACCATATTACTTTACTTTAAGAGACTCTAAAATATAGAAACTATACATTATAATACAGGAGAGGGGATTCTACAAATACATAAATTAACAAAGCTGGCAATGAGAACCTGACATTTAACCTGAATCTATAAAACTAGGAATACTTCCATTTTTTTAGCTTTAAAAATGGATCACGTCCATCTAAAACTGAATATCTATGAATGTGTTACAGTACATTTAAGGTTTCAAAAAGCAAGTGAAAAAAATCTGTGAAAATCACTTGTGAAGTACAATACATCAATAGGAATCAAGTTATTTGTATCGATTTAAAATAGTTAATGTATTAGCTAAATATTTTATTGCTAAGATTTTTTGAGTGTACAATTAGGGACAATAAGAATGGCCAGTAAAATATATATACACAAACATCATTCTATAAAAACTGAAAAAGCAAATACATGCTTCTGAGATGCACTTCAGCCAGGTTTGTAATAAAAATGAAGGACACACAAGATTTTTCCTTTTAGAGAAAGTTACTCATTTACAACACATAAGAGACTGAATAAAATATTAGCATCAGTAAAAAATTGGCAATGAATACAATGTTGTACTCTAGCAAAATGAAAGGTTCCCCAACACGGTGGGCTTTCAGACCTTGTAAAGTCAGACGTGTATTCAGTTTTTGTTTTGATTCCATTCATTTCTCCTCCATAATTCACTATAGACTTTAAAAAAAATAAAATGCAGTAAATAAATATAAAATTCAGAAATCAAGATTTTAAAAACCTCTTTTCCTTCATCAGCAGCTACTTGTGTTTGTGCTTCCCGAACTTGAAGTATAGATGTCATTCCTCTTTGAATATTTCATTGAGCTAAAGGACACTCTCATTCGCTCAACAGTCCTAGCACTCCTGCAGATGAGGGTGTTTTTCACACTGTCTCTGAACTCTTTGGAAACAAAGTAATAGATGAACGGATCTAAGCAGCTGTTCAAGCTGGCAAGGCATAGGGTGATAATGTAAAATCCATAGACATTGTTTTCAAAGCCCTGCTTCAAGAGCGAATAGTGAGCAACAAGCATAATGTTACTGGGGGTGAAACAGATCAGGAACGTCACAAGGACGGTGATGATGATGATGAAAGCCTTTCTGCGCTTCTTCCCGGTGTTCTCATCCGATATCGAGTCACTCAGTGTCCGAAGCAGCAAGAAATAAGCCGCTACAATTATCAGAGATGGGATGAAATAAGCAAAGATGCCCATTGTAATGAAGTAACCAAAGGGATAATTTGTCTCGCCTACTTTGTTGACATCGTGGCAAGTGGTTATGTCTAGGTTCCCAATCTTGACAGTTTGGTCATAAAGATACAGTGGCGTTGTACTCAACCAGATTAAAATCCATATGGCAATTGAAAGGCAGACGGCAAACCGATTGTTTTTCCTCTGGGTAGACAGGGGATGGGCGATGACCCAGTATCTCTGCACACTCAAGCAGGTAATGAAAAGAATGGAACAGTACATGTTGGCATAGAAGAAGCCCACCAGCACCTTACAGAGGCCCTCACCGTAGATCCAGTTATTGCCGTTGATGTGGTAGGCAATCTTAAGAGGAAGCCAGATGACAAACAGGAGGTCTGACAGAGCCAGGTTGGCCATGTAGATGGCGGCCGGATGCTTCTTCTTCGTTCGGAAGAGGAAAACCCAAATGGCCATGGCGTTGGTGGGCAAGCTGACAACAAACACGATGATGTAGACGATGGGCAGGAAGACCGTGGTCAGGCCGCTCTGAAGTGTTTCTTCGGCAATTTTGTTCACCTTAAAGACGTTTTCCTTTTCGTCAATACTTGTGCCAATGAACCCACGTGAGCTACCTGCAATTAAGAAATTAGTTGATAAAGTGCCAATTTGAGATTGAGTATAAAGGAAAAAAAAAAAACAACTGACCTAAAAAAGACCAGATAGCTTTTTCACAAAAGGAGGTTCCCAATGGAAGACGCCCTGGGTAACTACACGTACGGTAAAGTATGTTTTTTACAATTGCCTAAATACAGTATCTTATGAAATGCTTTCCTGAGGACAGGCAATATGTACTTTCCTTCAGGGTACTGCTTTTAGCATTAACATTGCACTCATGAGCATTACAAGCTCATGAGTCTCTTTACTTTTTTTATAAACATATTCCAAAATAAATTTTTTAAAAATGGTTTTATTCATCACAGAACGTTTTTGAAAGCAGAAAAGTGGAATCAAATAATCTCCATATTAAGAAACTGGTAACTACACAAAATACATTCTTTAAATTTATTTAAAGGATTTAAAAAAGAATCTTTCTTGCGACAACTATGTGACGTAAGAATCTGTAAACTTCCTTAGTTCCCCGAGATACGGAAATCGCAGGACATACCTGTTTTTATTTTTGCAAAACGTTGTAACAAAAAAGGTTTTATTACTTTATGTTCACCGTTATCCTTTTCTATAATTTAGCTACAAGTACTTTCAAAATAAACCTGCTAGTTACACGACTCTTAATTTGTGAGTATTTGAGTTAAGACAAGGAGTCCCGATATTCTTTATTTTAACATTCGTCTGGTAATTTAGCTTACTAATATAACTAACAATCGACTGTTTTCATTCCCGATTAACTGCCATTTAACAAAACCTTGAGTTATTTGCAAGGTCAACGCGTAACACTAAGAAACGAAGTCAATCCTTTTCAGATGTATTAATCGTAAAGTCACAAACCATAAGTAAAGTCTTACCTGCTTCATAGCTGGATATAAAGGAACTTAGCAAAAATATTACTTTAAATTTCACCGAAAACATGGCTGTACTTTTCTTCGCCTAACAGTGATACAAACAAAATGTGCTGTGCTTTCTAATCCAAACGCAACAAGCCGTCGTCAATTCCCCTCCGCAGCAATGCCTTTCTCTCGAGTGAAAATGAACATACACCCTGCCCCACCGCAGGCAAACATTCTTACCTGCATTGCGTCATTACCTCGTGACCATATCCACCTGGCTCCTGGGTTTCGTTCGAGTCTTTGTGAATTTAAATCCAGCCGAGGATCTAGTTCATAGTAAATTCATAATACCCACATCACTTAATCATCCATGGGATTTATGTGTACTTTCACCTAACTCCTCACAATTTCATTTTTTTTCTGCTGAACGACCTCTGAAAACAACATGGTATAATTGCTCGCTTTCTTTATTCTGCAATCTGTTCTTAAAATAACTTTTACAGTTGTAGGCACGTCACGATTAAGCGGGTATTCTGTTTGTAATTAATAAATGTAATACTGATATCAAGTATAATAGTATCACTGGTGACAGCAAAGCTAGGAGCGAAAATGGGAATAGTTCGCTTTGGAAATGGGATCCACATCTCCCACAATGTAGGAGGAAAGATTCATACAAATGCCACAGAATCAGCCAAGTGGTAAACAGCAACTCCAGTCCGACAGGTTTGTGGCTGGGGGTAGTACTTAAAGTCAGAAACAATATTCCTGACATTACCAGAGTTTTGTAAAACAACCAAATTTGCGCACCCTTAAGCTACTTTGATTTCGCTAGAAGGTGACACATAAAAAAAAAACTTTCATGAGAGAAGTTAAAAATGTTCTGGCATTTTGAATTACACGGTGGATCTGCTGTTCTTTGCAAAGTTTCAAAAATAGTCTACTGTAAGGTAAGGCACTGGTGCAAAATAAACCTACATTATTGTGTCTCATTACTTACAAAGACACCGCAAAGTTAAATTGAGCATTCTGTAATGTGCTATATCATAGGATGGTGAGCAGACATCTCATCTTCACTCACATATATTAAAACAACCGATTTCATAACATTACTACATTAAAGCCACATGCAATAATGTTTTTCTTAAAGATTTGACGATGTAGAGACTGCTGTTAGTGATTCACAAATGCCTATTCATTAAACACCACTTTTCAGTACAATGTTTTCATGGGTGTGTAACGGTTCTTGGGGTTTCCGCCCTTGCCTGCTCCTGCCCTGTCAGTTCATCCCTCACTGCCTGGGCGCAAACCCGGGTCCCCGGCGTCCCGCAACAGGGAACTTGCCATCAGCACTAAAGGAGCCCCCCCACAGCCCGGGCAGCTGAGATCACTGTCATACGCAGGGGTGTATTCGTTACATGTGTTTGTGTGAGAATAGGCTTAAACTGTTCAAATCCTTTATTGCAAATAAAATACAAAGCTTAAAATCATACAAGGCAGTTCAAACAATTCACATTTGACTAGTGCCTATACATTTTCCTTGAAAATGAGATGGTATATCTTAAAGGTTATAAACTGGTGCAATAAGTGCAAGACAGAAAGTGATTCACATTGCATTCAATTGCAAAAATTACCCATGTGGAGTGTATGAACTTAAAATATGAAAGAATACTAGAACATGTACAGTAGGTCACTAATAAACACACCTTAAAATGTCGAGGTTTTATATCTCTTTCCTGTCAAAAAAAATCCTAAAACAAGGGTGTACAAGTCCTGACCAGACTTATACCAGAGCCAGACCAGATAATCTTGTTCACTCAGTTTCTCCTTTAAAATATGTATATTAACTGTATTAAATAAAGAAAAAAAACATAAAAAGGTTATTTTTACAACCAGAGGGTACAAAAGTCTAACATTCAGAACAATTGTTTTCATTACAAAACAGGTGTGAATTAGCCTCTCTGTCTAACAGCTGCTAGTACGTGTTCCTGAATCTGATGAATAGGACTTGCTGCTCTTTGAGTATTTCATTGCTGTGAAGGACACTCTCATTCTTTCTACAGTCCTGACACTCCTACAGATCAGGGTATTTTTCACATTTTCGCGGAACTCCTCAGAGACGTAGTAATACAGGAAGGGATCAAAGCAGCTGTTCAAACTTGCGAGGCAGAGAGTGGCAATGTAAATGCCATAGCCATTGTTGACTTCGCCTTGCTTTAAAAGCGAATAGTGAACGAGCAGCATGACGTTGCTCGGGGTGAAACACACCAGAAACATGACGAGGACTGTGACGATGAGCAGGACCGCCTTTCGGCGTTTCTTTCCGATGTTCTCGTCCGTCATGGAGCTGGCGAGATGCCTGAGCATTAAAACATAGGCGATTATGCACACTACCGCCGGGATGAAATAAGCAAAAACGCCCATTGTGATGAAGAAACCAAAGGGATAATTGATCTGACTTGCTTTGGTGATGTCGTGGCAAATCGTAATGTCCACGTCCTTAATCTGGACGGTTTGGTCATAAAGATACAGCGGAGTGGTGCTCGCCCAGATTACAGCCCAGACTGTGATGGCGACGTAGACTGCAATCTTGTTGTTTTTCCTCTGGTGGGAGAGAGGGTGCACAATGACCCAGTATCTCTGCACACTCAAGCAGGTAATGAAAAGAATGGAACAGTACATGTTGGCATAGAAGAAGCCCACCAGCACCTTACAGAGGCCCTCACCGTAGATCCAGTTATTGCCGTTGATGTGGTAGGCAATCTTAAGAGGAAGCCAGATGACAAACAGGAGGTCTGACAGAGCCAGGTTGGCCATGTAGATGGCGGCCGGATGCTTCTTCTTCGTTCGGAAGAGGAAAACCCAAATGGCCATGGCGTTCGTGGGCAAGCTGACAACAAACACGATGATGTAGACGATGGGCAGGAAGACCGTGGTCAGGCCGCTCTGAAGGGTGTCCCAGGCCGTTTGGTTCACTAGGGTACCATCAAGTGTTTCAACGCCAAGAAACCCTCTTTGTTGGGAACATACTGAAATAAACAAATCACTTTTTAGGATGGCATATTCAAGTATTTTAACTCAAAATGTCATCAACACAATATACAGTACATATGATTAACATTAATAATTTAAAATGCATTCAAAACTGTCAGCTAAGTATGGAGACTAGAGTTAAAGAGGCTTAATGAAGTCATTACAAATGTTGCACTTTTGTAACTGTTTTTAAAATACTACACTTCTCAGAACAACTTACAACCAGGTTAAATATTTTTTGGCTTATTCAAAACCACCTATTATACCAAAGCTTAATTTTGCATTTAAACAGAATAATATTCAACATAAATATTCAACTTCTGAATTATACAAGATGAAATAAACTATGTTTAAACTAAAACTGAAATGTAATGTATTAAAGTCTGAAATTCAAATTTAAAAATTAAACACATTGTGCAATGGAAAATAAAAGTGATGTATTAAAAGTGGTATCATCAAGTTAGAAAATCAAAATAAAATTAAACTACAAAATGAAGTGAATAAAATATTTTATTCATACATATTATTTTTTACTTATTTGAGGTGCGCACACACGATTGGTTTAATCAGTTTTTTTCATCAAAGAAAAGGCAAGGTGGACAAACGCGTATTCACTACAACATTTTTTTAAAGTTACTTACCCTGTCGAGAACATATCACCAATAAAGAAAACAAATGAACTAGCCTCATTGAATAATTCATATTTTGTGCTGCGCCTATTATTGGTAACGAAACTGTGTGTTACAGTTTTGAAATATAAGAATAAGCGGAATTGGACGAGCTCCAAAATAGAAAGATACTTTAAATTCAATTAAAATTTAAATGTAATACTCCGCTCTTTCATGGTCTTCCTCCGTGAGAGGACACACCTTACACGGCGAAAAACCTGGCCCTTGCTACCTGCTCTACGTCATTCCCTCGTGATTGCGCCAACCCGATTTTCCGTTCGCTTTGAGAACAGCCAGCAAGCCCAACGCAGACTACTGCCTAATCGTGTTGCACAATTCAGGACTTTCATCCAATCTATTTAGCTTTTTTCAGTTTAATTACGTGCCGTATTAAATTGGTTTGTACAGTACATGTTTTTTACAGGGAATAATGCTAAAGGCACAAAACGTATTCGTGCAGAAAATGAATATTGAAGTATGTATGAAGAAGTGCAGAAAACAGCGATCTAGTAGCACTTTAGAAAATACAAAAATACCAGGAGAAAGAACTGGTTTTATTCAAAGAAATATATGGTTTTATTTAGACAACGTCAACTGGGATCTATGAATAGCCAATCAAGACAACTTTTTTTCACCAATTGGAGAAGTCTTAATATTGCACTCATTCCCCCCAAAAAAGGAATAAATTAGAGAAAGGAGAGGCCATATGAATACATCTAATGGAATCGTTTTAGAGTACAGTCAACATATTTAGAAAAGCCCTCCTATTACTAGTAGGTTTCTATTAGTACATTATTCAGGAAATGAAGGGTAAAGAGGGTATACTGTAGAATGTCAATTAAAGATTAAATATTAACATTATTTATGTAAAACTAAAAAGCTACCTTGTACAGTACTATCTAGGCAGGTTACTATGTCTGTGTTGTTGTCCAGCCCCATCAGAAAGTATCACCCTGCTTCATAGTTTGCAGAAAAACATGAACTGATACCATTACAGAAATTTAAGTATGAGAGAACTTTTCATAGCTCCTGGGAAGAAAGTGGTACACAACAAAAAACAGAAATCAAATTTTTGTCTAGTGATGATTATGCTTGTTGACAGATTGCAGCCAAGCTACAGGTTACACCCAGTGCTGTGTCTGTGAGATCTGGGGGTGGGGTGGGAGCGATTGTGAAACTGATACTGTTGATGTAAACATAGGGTTTAATGAAGCTGACAATCCCCACATATAATAGCAAACAAGTGTTTATTATGCCAGAGACGTGCATGCGCCTATACATTCATACAACCAAAACAGTGGCAAAGCAAGACTTATACCATACTAGCTTCTACTCTAGCCTTACTGGAACAGGAAATGACACAAAAATGACTTAACACTTCACAAACACGTATTGTTAAAATAGTTAAAACCTGCTATAACTAACTACCTGCTGTACTGATAATAGAAGACATTGACAGAGAACCCCAGACAAAATAATGAAAATACATTTTGAAATCTGCATTTGTAGTAAATATCATATGTCATATTTAGAGTAACTGTTACAGTACATCAACACTTAAATACATAAAAAGAAATGAACGGAGTAAGATATATGATTAGTGTTTTACAAATTTCCTTCTAGGGATCTGCCTTTTCCAAACTATGAATTCTAAACTGTATGTGACTTTGCAATACTCACTGCCCTTCTGGACCTGGTTAATGAATACTGTACATTCCGAGATTTTCTTTCATTAGCATTAGAGCCAGCCGGTCTCTTAATGGGTAATAGACATTGTCAATATGAAGAATATAACATTTCTGGAATTTCAGAAGCCTGATGTGAGAGGTTTCAAATCAGCTGTTTAGTCATTACAAGAATAACAAAACGTACTGTACAAATACAGTAGGTTAGCACGTGTGCAGCAATGCAAAGCTATTTTTGGTTAACTAGATACTGGTATTTCACAATAGTGTGATCTCAATGAGTGTCACTGATCTACAGGATGATTCTCTCCTGGCTCTTTATTAATAACTTATTAATAAGTAGACTAGAATCCTAAACAGTGTTCAGTATACAGTATGCAGTATACAATATACAGCAATGAAATTGCTCTATACTATATATGTTTCATATGGATCTATTAAATGTAAAATATTTATCTTGTTCATGTTATTGTATTGTTTATTCTGTTTATTCTGGGGTTTTAATTACATAATGTGCTTAACAGACCATAATAAAAGTTACAAACAAGATAAGACCATATTGCCCATCTAATCCAATTTTTAATGGTTGTAGTTTATTTATCTGAGAGATTTTTCTTGACAGAAGACAAGTTATCAGCTTCAACAAGTGTTAAACAATCAGTTTACTAAGGCACACAACTAGATGTTTGGCTACTCTTCTTCTTCACAACTCCTAATCTACTATTTGACACATCGATCTGGAACAGGATGAGCAAAAATGGGTCACAAGTGTTGGAGTCTTTAAGGTCGTGAAAGGCTTTCAGCTGCAAAAGTCCACTCAAATCTAGTGACATTTGTTTTTGTCGGTTCAGTGAAGGCATGTACTATTCCTGAAAAACGGAGAAACAAACTTTGGTTCCAACCTGTTCGACCCAGGATTCGTCTTACTAGTCTCCTGGAAGTAAGTTGGGGACAATCTTAAATGACCCATACTTCATTCACTTGAGGCAGCTGCATAATGCCATTGCCTACCCCTACATACTGTATCTCTGAAATTGTACATCTGTTTTAAAATAAGTTACTTCACGTCCCATTGATGGTCAGTCCAGCAACTGTTTCTGTTTTGTTTCCAAAACCATTCCTGCTAATGAGATTGTTCATTGCTCCCTTGGTCATCGACATATTCTTGCTATGCATTCAAAAGAAGTCAAGCAAGAGTCAATATAATCCTCATTGTAATGATGATACCATGATGATACCATTATGTTCTCAGACCAATTAGTGGGAGTGCCCCGTGTCTCACGTAAAGATTCAGATGCTACGAATTGAGAACTGCTTCTTTCTGACCTGCACTTGGTCTGGTCTGTCAATTTTCTGGCTCCATGAAGTGCACCTGATCTACATTCTAATGACCTTCAATGCTAACCCTGTTGCCAAACCTTGCTGCTTCATTTGTTACTGTTGTAGCTTCATCACAGACTCAAGTAAGTCTCCAATGACCAGTTTTTCTGTGCTTTTGTCATGTCATTGACACTACTTCTGGCTGCTGAGGCTCCAGAAAGTCCTTTGTGTTGCCTTTTGGCATTATTACTATTGAAGCAGGTGCCTGCTTTTCCTGCTCTTCCACGGCAGGAATGTGTTGCAGCCTCCAGAGATTTTCAGCATGGTCAATATCCATCCCGCTACTAACACCATCTGTCTCAGAGCCCACTCTGCAAAGCAGTCTACTTGGTCCCAGTGTAAAAGATAATTGCAGAACAGATTAAAATAATTAATTAAGCCTGAATATATCCCGCCTATATACCGTGGTACCAACACATTCTGCTATCTGAGAGCTGCAAGAGAAGTAATGATGTGGCCTAGGAGTCTGCCCTTTCATCCTGGATGCTCCTCCCACTTGATACCACCCATGGGACTTTTTAAAAGGAAACTTCCTTTTTGCCACATGTGAAATCAACAATGACATTACCAACAGCAAGCATCTTTCTCACCAAAATTCAATATAAAATGAATAACATTGGATATATTGGGGTTAGAGACCAGAACGTTTGCAGCTTATAAAAAAAGATACTGTATATAAGGAGTAGGGTCAATAAAAGCATACATTTTGTCCATGGACTTAAAGCATGGAGCCTTCTTCCATACTAATCAATAAATTAGAGCAGATCTTAACTTAGACTAAGTGGGTGTTTCACTTGTACATACCCAAATACAGTACATGATTGTACACTTATGTATTTTAAAACTGTTTTACTGTCATCTGTCCCTTACTTTTATCTTGACTTACCAATCATAAAAAAAACAGTTTCATGTTAAACATTTAAAGGGTCATCTAAAATAAATTTTACGCAAGGACTATTTATATTGTCTTACTTTGAGAAGTAGACAAGTTGTCCTTTATTGTCGATATTTATTGAGCAACCACACTATCATTTATTGATGCAAGCAGGAATCTTCTTATATGGATCTCAGAGATGCCCTACTAATTACTTCACTCCAATTGAAGTATTCACCCCTTACTCATATTGTTTACTATCCATTAACCAGTACTTTACCCAATAATATGCTTTATCTTAAGTTAATACATCATGTAGTATGTCGGATGGCATGGTGGAACAGTGTTGAGAATTGCTGCCTCAGTTCTGAGCCTGGTGTGCTGTCTCTGTGGCGTTTATATTCTCAACATTCATGTGGGTTTTCGCCTGGCGCTCCAGTTTCCTTCCACAGTCCAAAGATATGTATACTGCTAACCTAATTGGCTTCTGGGAAGATTGATCCTGGTGTGACTGTGTTTATCTCTGTGTTTGTGTGTACCCTAAAATGGAATAGTATTCCACAGAGGGTATGTTCTTCCTTACAGTTTTTGCTTGCTGGGACAGGCTCCTGCTCCTTCATACAGGTTTAACCCTGTATTGGATAAAATCATGTTGTCTGTTTCATTAGGTAGAATTCTAATGCCATATTATTACTATAACTTTATTCAGCATGTAATTGAAGTAAGACATATTGGTGCATAACTAACTGATTCATTTTCATTGCCCTTTTTATGGACGGGTTTTCCACTGTCTCGAGAGACTTCTGAGTTTTGTTAATGGTCTACAAATTAGTATTGTTTCTTAAGTAGAAAAACATCACTCCTCTATGTTGATAGCATTCAAATTAGAACCTTGCCTTTGCTTAGCCTGAGGAAAGCTGTCAACCTCTTCCTTGTAAAACTCCTGGGTGAAAACTTGTTTCCATTAATTACTGTAACACCTTTTTTTTCCATTATCTAAATATTTCTGCTTATTATTGCTGAGACACTTTTAATCCTTCAAAACCTACAATGTTCCATTCATGACTCTCTGCACTTCAACATCCTGATTGAATTTACTGTAGTGTTGGTGATCCCTGAGTACTTTTTGTTATAGCATTGTTATTTAGTCATAAACATCTCATGATAAAATACATAAAATAGAAAGGCCTTTGAAGCCAACCACTACATGTTGTCTTCCATTTTAAGATTAAACTCACAAGTCCCATAATGTCCACATGGAAAATGAACCAAAACAAATGACTACTGTGCTGAATAGATGTTATCTTCTAAACCACAC